TTGTTTTAGAAAAGACCATTTTAAGATTGATTATCCAAATCTACCCAACTTTTCCTCTCTAGAATCTCATTTACAATCTATTTATATAACCTTTTCTTATAAGAAATTCAAAGTTTGAGACAAGTTCTTTATTTTTTTAAGTGCAAAGCGAAAGACTTAGTGAAGGAGAGATGACTGAGAAGGAAGATGAATCGGGGGCAGCGAGAACAAAAGACAAAAATCAAAGAATCCAAGCTTTGTCGTGGTCTCGGAAGAGGCCATTAGCGTCCATGACTTTGTAGGAAGTTCTCCGAACGAACAGCAATTGGCCAAAGCTAAAGTCAAAGTCAAAAGTGATGAGAATATTTCAATGTACTCTCTGAACAAACAAACAAAACGAGAAGAAGACTGTCTGCCCGACTGGCAGACAGACGGACGCACGAGAAAAGAATTGTATAATTAATAGCATTAAACAAAAACTAAATCAAAATGTCAGGGGTGGAAAAATCAGCGCAAATTGAAAAAATCATTTCTTCTCACGTTGGGCAATTGTATTCAATCTATATATGTTCACAATGCTCTGCCCTCTGCTCGATCCCTCTCTGATTTATTTCGATCTGGTCGATCTGGTCGATCGGTCTCTCTGGAGCCCCCAATTGACGTCACTCGGGATGGGGGTGAGCAATTAAAAACTACTCGGCCAGCAGGCAACGAGCTTGTACAAACAACAAATCAAAAGTGAATCCTCTTGACTTGGCAACAGGCAGTTGGCAGTTGGCTGAAAAGAAATGATGTTCGGCGATTGAAACAACAAACATAAATGTGGCAAACAAAACTTGAACTTGCTGGGAATACACACAATAATGTATTAATGTTTTCGCTTGGGAAAATTGTACAAACGTTTGCCAAACAGTGGAAAATATTCTGTGTTGGTTAAATGAAATGATTTGCTTCCGGTTTTAAGAAACCTACAACCAAGTGACGCAGGTGTCCAAGGATTTTGATTTAAGTAAGAAACCTTCGGAGAACCTCTGGAAAATTGATGGCCAAATAATTGAGTTTGGTGGGGAAACTTTTCCCCGAGCTTAGAATGTCAATTGCAGCAGCTGTGTGATGTGATTGCTCTTCGGTTGTCGCATCTGTGCTCGTCTTTTGTGGGGCTTAAAGTTAACATGATATAAAATCTGGCAAAATTTGTTTAAATTCAAGGGCATTGTAATTAAATCTCAATTAAATGTCTTAGTCAAGCAGACTCATATGTGCGGCTCGTTAACCCGGCTTTAATGCACTTTACAGACAGTCACCTGTTGAGCTCTAAAATCGCTGTCATCATCATCATTATAGTCGCATCTCGGTCGCCACAATTAAGAGTCATTTACTTATCACAATCTGGGCACAGCCCTCCTCCACCAGCACAATCTCTCTTCAGCCGTTTTCATCTCATCTAAGCTCAGCCCCAGCTCAGTGCAATTGAGGCGGCATCAGCAGCATCAGCAGCAGCAGCAGATGTGGCAATCATCCCCGGGGGGCACCTGGTAGTGATGTTATCTAAGGATTACAGAATTTAGCTAGATATTGCATTTAATATAGATTCCTTTTTTATGTTTTAAAAATAGTTAGGAAAGTTCCTTCCTTTTGGCATTAAAGGGCGGTCGGGCGGTCCAAAAGGTCTTGAATACAGGTAACAAATTTGGATCTTTAGGAAGTCTTAATGACTAACTATCGTTTATTTTATGAAACTTTCGTGTGAATGTAACTTTCAAATGTTATCTTACCCTTTTAAAAATTGTTTAAACTGTTTAAAAAGTATATATTTCTTAATATAGCTAACAATCGTAAAGCCACTTTGCCAGCACTTGTTTGCAGGAGTGGCAGCTGCTTTTAGCCTTGTCTCCTGCTAGTAAATGCGGCGCTCAGGTTGAACAAGTGAGAACGCTGGTGGCGGAAAGCCATTTTCCCTGTTGACGCTTAGGGATTTTCTGCCAACAATGGCAGCCATAAAATTGCAGGGGGAGATGGTGGCTGGCGGTGACAACAACTGTGGCCAACGCCATCTCCTTTCAGAAGCCTTTTCATCATTTTGGATGCAGGCGGCAATAAGAGTGAAATGGCAAAGTGCCATGGCAACTCATAACGGATGCCGAGTGCAGGGGATTAAAACGTAACCGTAACCATTGAATCGGTGGTGATTCCCCTCCTCGATTCAAGGCAAATTGAAGGGGTCTGCTGCTCCACTCTCGAGCTAGTGAAATATGCATCCTCGACATCATCTTCATTATGTGCAGCAGCCGTCTGCATTGAACAAGATGTGTGTATGGCGGTGACCTCGATTGTAGGCCCCTCCATTTCCACCCCATTTCCACCCCTTTTATATGATACTTATATCAGGCTAGGCCCATCTGCTCTCTGCTTCTTGGCTCCGTCTGGGTCGCCTTGATTTACTGACAAATCATTTCACATTTCACACAAGCGTCAGCGAAGCAGCGTGCTCTTAAAATATTTCTTCGTTCAATGACATTGAAAAGAATTTTCATATGAGAGATTTTCCCCCCTCTCGGGACAAGCCCCCTCGGCGGTGTCGTCTGCTGACGTTTCGCTTGGCTTGGCTGTATTTTTGATGCCTTGGGTTCTTGACTCTTTTCTTTTTTTTTTTTGGCACAGTTCTCTTCATCATTGATCTTGTCTGGTGACTGTGATATAAAAGCGCTATAAAATGCAAAAGAAACGCTGCCGCATTGTTCCCGATTCATACATCTTTCCTAGTTATTTTTGGAATCCATAATTCACCTCATAACGACAAAATATGATGAACAAATTGAATACATTTTTGGGGCATTTGTTTTCTTTTTATTTGCCGCGCCTATGTTGCATAATTGCACAAATTGATTACGATTCTGTTCGGAGGCCCATTTTGGGCGCTTTTTCCCAACAGTGTTCTGGGCACGCCCAGCATTTCCTCTAATTTCCCGTCTCCAAATGAGTTTCCCAATGGCCCAACTGCCCCAATTTTCCCCAAGGGGTATGTGTACTTCGTGTCTGTGTGTGTGTTAGAGGTCAACGAATTGTTTGTCACCGGCGTTCATCTAATGACCGCCAACTGTGCCGCACAGCTGAGCATCTTGTGTGTGTGGCCCAGCCATATGTTTTCAATTGGGGAAAACACGCAGGAAAAGCGCCTTGCTGCGTCCATTTGTCTGCAACTGGCGCGGTATCCAATTTGGAGTGTTTTGCTTGACGGATTGACGGATGTGTGCGGCTGCTTCTGCGGCGGCAAAAGCTTTTAGCCCTCTAAAGTTCAAAGAGTACAAGCAGATTTTGGTATAAGGATCATCGTGATGCAACTTTGGTTTCAGCAAATTCAATTTTCTGCTGCTTTATCGAATGCAGAATGTTTATGTTTATATTTGTTTAGTTTCTACTTAACAATTGTATACTAAGATAAAGCTGCTTCAAGTTATAGACCCTCAACTGTTGTTTCTATAATTGACCAGGCCCATTCAAGGCCATGAACAAGGTTGTGTGCCACTGCACACAATGCCAGGCAGACACACAAAATAAATGTCGCCTGATATGTATTTTTATATAATTTTGCATTTTAATTAAAGGCTGCTGCAGCTCTTCGTGTCCGTATGAATGCGGCTGTGGCAATGCAGTTGCAAATAAATGGCTTATCGGCAACCTGCCACAAATGGTGACATTCCCAGAACAGCAGCAGCAGCAACAGAAGCAGAAGCAGAAAAGCGGGGGTCTATGACTGGCCACATCCGCTGATTGCCCCGAGGCCACAGCCGCATCCATTGTGTGCCCCCACAACTCGAGCATGTCCTGCCTCCGGTTGGCCCGATACCCCAAATATCCCCACTTGTTTCCGTGCCACTCAACAAGCCACCTACCTTACGCTCTACCTCTTAATTTTCATACCCCTTGCAAGGGGTATATTATATTTAAATCAATATCAAACTTAACAGTTCTCAAAACTGAAAGATAATAATAGGAAATAGTTGGTTTAATCATTAATTTTATTTTAGTTACTTATCCTCTTTTGTAATATTTATTTAACAGTTTTTGAAAAGGGAAACAACTTTGTGTCTTGTACTTGCTTTCAGAACTTTGAGTTGCATTTACTGGGTATCTCATAGTCGTGTCACTGGACCTGCTTTCCCCTTTGTTGTGGCTGTCGTAGCAAGTTCGCGTTGCGGGTCCCACGTGTCGTATTAGTTGGATTGAATGCACACACACAACACACACTTGGGACAAGTCACCCCGCGTTGACCTGTCCGATGACGATGTTTCGTTTTGCCCCCGGGGAGAGGTGGTCGAGACCATGTGTGTATATGTTTTCTGGTGTTTTTTTTCGCCCCCCTATGTAACTGGGTCAATTTAAACAGTGTTGTAAAGGATTGAGGCTCCTCCCCACAGCTACGGCCACCTGTCATATCGCTTTTGCTGGCAGTTTCGCGGTTTTCATACGAGGCTCTCGTGGAAAAGCTTTGTGGGCGTGTTGATAAACATACACACAGAGACACAGTCTGGTTTTCCCGGGTCCTTTTGCGTGGCCATTTCCGCTTTGGCAGCTCGAAAATTTATTCGATCAACAAGTTTCGTTTGTCATTTTACGCTTCGGCTCGTTCTATCAGCGAGAATCAAAATAATAACAAAAGCAAGTTGTTGTACAGTATGCAAAGGTCAACTTGGAGTTATTTTCCACTTGCGTTCCAGGATATCTGCTGGCGCTTTAAACCCCGATTCTGATAGACAATGACAAGCCCATATGCGGAAAAGTCTTTCTCTTTGCCCAGAGTGAGTGTGGGTGTCATGGAATATTTATAGCCGATTTATAAATATATTTTATTAACGCGACGGCCCACTGGAGTAACTCATGCGTGAGCAAGTCAATCAGCCGGAGCAGATAGAATTGTGTAACCCGATAACCAACGAGCCTGGCTCACTGAAAATCCCTTTATGAACATAATTTTCGCAGCAATAATGAGTAAAAAATGTGTTCCTCCTCCCTCTTGCAGACATACCCGACATTCCCGACGACATCAAGCATCTGCAGAGCTTGCAGGTGGCCGACTTCAGCTCGAACCCGATACCCAAGCTGCCCTCGGGCTTCTCCCAGTTGAAGAACCTGACCGTCCTGGGCCTCAACGACATGTCGCTCACCACATTGCCGGCGGACTTTGGCAGCCTCACGCAGCTGGAGTCTTTGGAGCTACGCGAGAATCTGCTCAAGCATCTACCGGAGACGATAAGTCAGCTGACGAAGCTGAAGCGTTTGGACTTGGGCGACAATGAGATCGAGGATCTGCCTCCCTATCTGGGCTACCTGCCGGGTTTGCATGAGCTTTGGCTGGATCACAACCAGTTGCAGCGTCTGCCGCCAGAGTTGGGACTGTTGACCAAACTGACCTACCTCGATGTGTCCGAGAATCGGTTGGAGGAGCTGCCCAGCGAGGTTAGCGGGCTGGTGAGCCTTACGGATCTGGATCTGGCACAGAATCTGCTGGAGACCCTGCCCGATGGCATTGCCAAGCTGAGCAGGCTGACCATCCTAAAGCTGGACCAGAATCGTTTGCAACGGTTGAACGATACGCTCGGGAAGTGAGTTCTGTCATCTAATCTTATCTTATTATATTTAAATACTAAATGCCCACTTTTTTTTCTTATTTTGTAGCTGCGAGAATATGCAGGAGCTGATACTCACAGAGAACTTCCTGTCCGAGCTGCCGGCCTCCATTGGCCAGATGTCGAAGCTGAGCAATCTGAATGTGGATCGCAATGCCCTGGAATACCTGCCCCTGGAGATTGGTCAGTGCTCCAATCTGGGCGTGCTCAGTTTGCGCGATAACAAGCTGAAGAAGCTGCCCCCAGAGCTGGGCAACTGCACTGTTCTCCATGTGCTCGATGTGAGCGGGAATCAGTTGCTGTATCTGCCCTACTCACTGGTGAATCTGCAGCTGAAGGCCGTGTGGTTGTCGGAGAATCAGTCGCAGCCGCTGCTCACCTTTCAGCCGGATGTGGATGCGGAGACGGGGGAGCAGGTGCTGTCCTGTTACCTGCTGCCCCAGCAGGAATATCAGCCCATTACACCAGGTGAGTGTGGATGAGTCAGTGGGGAGTCAGTCGGGGGGCTTAGCCCCAGTGGTTAAAGGTTGCTCCACAGTTGGCGCTGATTGCTCGCTGGGGCAAGCCGAAATTTGGCCAAGTTATGCGGCCTTATCTGCACCTGACATAAATTCCACCAGCATTACTCCTCCTCCTTCCCCTCCTATCGTTGTGCAATATCTTCAATCTATGCTCGCATTTCCGCGATAAGATAAACCGCCAAAGTGAGCCAAGTGAGCAAACATCGCCAACAAGCGAGCGGCTATCAGAGTTTTGTTTTTTTCACTATCTTTGTGGGTGAAACAAAAATATATACACAAGACTTTTCAATTTATTTCGATGTATTTTCCTTCAAGCAAATTTCCACCTATTTAATGTGACTAAAACTTTATATAAATTATGCTTCGGCAAGGGCACTATTTCCAATACTGATTTCCATTATTTTCTTTGCATTCTGCCACATCACGCGCTCCTTCGACCATTGCACCCGCCCATGTCACCCTCTTTTTTATATGTTCATTCCCATCAAAAGACTATCCACCCATGACGCTTTATAGATCGAGCGAAAAATTCGATTCGACGGAATTCTTCAGTTATCAGCAGAAAGGTTTGCGTTGAGTATTACCTTCTTGTCAGTATTAATAACACATCACGCCTCTTGTACAGCTTAAATTAGACCATATAGTAGAGTTTGCTCGAGTTGGTTTCACGAACCATTTAGGACTTGACACTCCCAGATCCCAAAATCATTGAAATTCAATTTGTTTCGAGTTGGACTCTACTGTATTGGCCCGCTGATGCCTCATAGCATGAATGCCTCGACATTTGCATGTTTGCTTTGTTTTGAAAAATGTATATTATTAAATATAATGATTAGAGAAATTAATTATGTGAATACATATAAATTTAATATACCTAATTAACCAAATAACCAAAAATATTAAAGAGGGAACCGATTTGTTCTGAGTACTTAAATATAGTATGCAGAAATTCCAATGGTATATGCATTTAAGAAAGGCACACATGAAAAATTAGGTGAAATATCTCTCCTTCTACAAATGTGCAATTAAAATTCTCAAGTTCGAATTCGGTGAACATAATAATATTCACTAATGATAATTTCCTTTAATAATAGAACCAATAAATCAGAGCCAAGAAAGAACCCCTGTAAATAAATATACTAGAATACAATTTCAATTAACTTAATTAATTATTTTTGTTCCAATCGTTTCCCGTTGACATTTAACCACAAATATACTCTCCGTCTACGTCTCCATTCTGGAGTTGTTAGACGATGCTATCATCGAGCTTTTTGGTTAGAAAACGCATCTCTTGGCCTGGTCAAAAGCCACTCGGGTAGATAGCAGCATTGACAATGCCTGTTTTGCTTTTAGTTTTAGTTTTTTGGGTGTTTGAAACGAAAACACTAACCGGTTTACCGCGAACGCCAGTGACGTCATGACAACAAGTTGTTTTATCGGAGTGTCTCAGGTCTCCGGGCGTTGGCTGGCTGAGAAACATACATACCATATATACCATACCATAATATATTCGTATAAATGTATTGCGATGGCTGATAAATTGTGGATATGTGTTCGATTTGGGCTTGTTTGATTTGATTATGTTATTATTTTGTGTTTATATTCCATTCCCATGCGTGTTTCCCATCGCAGATCAGTGCCGTTTCCCACACCACCCACAAAATGGGTACAGGGAGCCCCCACTTGAGGAATGGAATTGAATGGAAATGGCCAGTTGATTGGTATCGGGAATCTCAATCATGCCACCGGATTGAGCGCTTCTAGCTGCCTGTCAGTGGCAGCATGCCAGATCAAAGCGGCCCCCAGACGCACAAACGATTTGTTTGTTGCTGCTTGGAAAATGCCAAGATCCATTTCCATTTATCTTCCATACAGTACTTAAAGCCTGCCGCTCACATTGTAGCATATTCCTCCCACTTGAGTGATGTCAACGTTTGTGACGTCATAATGGGGGAAGGGGCGTGGCAGCAGCAATAGTTTTGAAAGTGGGGCAAGATCGGCAAGCGTTGTAATTAGTTGTATGACGCTGCTTTTGGTTAATAATATTAATCGCTTGGCTCGCTTCGATGTTGTATGTGCCACCAAAACTAACGGTTGATTAATGGCCTGTCACAGGGGACTACAGTGGAACCTCACTTACCAAGAAACCTGTAAGAGTTGGTAGAGTTAAAGTCCTTGTTAGTTCTAGTCACTGGTCATTTGGAATAAGAGGTTTTTCTAGAGATGATAATGATTTTAACTTAGTTTTCTATTGTAAATAAATCGGACTGTAGGCCTTCAAATGGATTTATGATTAATCAGCTTAACGTCATGCAAATTATAGAGAAATTTTTATGAAGCATTCAAATGGAAAAGAAATGAAAAGGCGAATCCAAAGAGGAGTCATACAGAGCTAGTAATTATTAGATTTAAGAAGACTTTTCTTTGATTTACTGTAAATATTTCTATAAATATAGGAAGTTGTGGTTGCATTTAATTGTTATATGAAGTATTTAGTTTGCTTTTGTAGATTTTTAGATCAATTGCTTTTGATTGTAGAATACTTATTTATAGTTATACATAGATAATATTCTCATGATTTCCCCCTAGTTTCTAGAGGAATTAAGCTATATGCAAATGAGTTTATTGTTTATTTTTCGACTGTCAAGTCTCTTTTCCTGGGTTTCCACTGTGTCACATTCGTTGATTGAGTGAGTGTCCGTCGTCTGATTCAACCTGTATTTTTCGGTTGCTGGAGATGAGGATGTTGCTGCTGCTATTGTGGTTGCTCTATTCCGTAGTTCTGTGGCGTAGTTGCTTACCAATCGAAATGAATGTATAAGTAGATATATATTGTAACTGTTATTTGGCTTCCAAACTCGTTTTGGCCTCTTGGTTTTTGCCTATAAATAGATTATATCATCAGTCCATTTGGAGAACCAACCAATGCGACGTGTTTGAGTTATCATTTCGCAACCGATCAATGGTCAATGACGGATTAAGTGTACACAAAGCACACATAGCTCGGCCAATTTAGACGAATGTGTGAATAGTTTCAAGATCAAATAGCTACGGGGCCCAGACCTACTCATTGTCTCGTCTCCATAATATTTTAGAGCCATGTAAGCGGCGTTCAAATTATCCAATTAAAGCCAAAGTCATGGGGAGGCAGAGAGCGTCAAGAAAACAAGAGGAAATAAATTTGACAGCACCCCAAGACTTGGCTGGCGTTGTTATTATTATTTTTACAAGTCGTCCGGCCGCCAGTTTATTTCATTTGCATAAATCTTCATCTCGGTTGACCCCGAGTTTCCTAGAGGTCTCGGAGACGCCCCGCTGTGGGGCTAAAATCGGTAACGATTGTAAGTTACGACTGTTCTCCGCCGGACATTTGGCAATTGTAGATGCAGCCATGTACTTGGGGGGCACTTCCTCCCGGCGATTTGCATTTGTTTATTGCTGTAACTGCCACCCATCGGCACCTCCTGCAATTGCTGCGTAGATAGATTGGTTGGCCAGGGGATGGGATGGGGAAGGTGGAGCTAAATCCAAATCTGGACCCACTGATTGCCCCCACATGCTGCAACTTTTATGTTGTTTACACGCGCGGTGCGAAATATTTACGGGCCTCGCACACACTTCTCATAAGCGGCTGATGGATTAGCAAGTGGACCACACCGTCGGGCCCAACGGCAGACCTGGCCAGAAATGTTTACGGGACGGCGCCCAAAAATAGTGGTTCGCTTTTGGGGGCTTTTAATAGGCGGTTTATTTATTGATTTTTGCAAAAACCGAAGCGAAACCGTAGACCATTAGGCGTTTTGAATATAAATCTGTGTTTGTATATAATAAATAGTCTTGTTTACATACATATATATATATATATCTCATATATTGTAGTAGTAAGTGTTTGTGCTGAGCATGAGCATGCAGTTCCTGATAACTGAAACCATTTCAAAGCCATCTACTCTCTACTCTGCGATTTCTTTGCTAATGGAATTCCTTTTGTATTTTAAAATAGCCCGCGATCTGGAGTCTGATTCGGAGCCGTTCGAGGAGCGTGAGCCTTCGCGCACCGTGGTCAAGTTCTCGGAGGATGCCAGCCAGGAGAAGGACACACCTTTCGTGCGCCAGAATACGCCGCATCCCAAGGATCTCAAGGCCAAGGCCCAGAAGCTGAAGGTGGAGCGCAGTCGGCACGAGGAGCACGCCAATCTGGTTGCTCTGCCAGAGGAGGTGAGTGGAGGCGATCCCAATGCCATGCTTCATATGTATTTCCATCGCTAGGTGAAGGTGGCGGAGTGGAAGCCACTCCCATGAAAATATATATATATATACGCTTGCCTTGATATGTCTTTGTTGTGCTTTTTTGGCTCAATACTAATCCTAGAGTTAAGCAAACTTGAGGTCTTATTTTAGCAAATAGTGCATGTCTAACTGGGAGAGGGTATTATATAGTTGATAAACTGGAAGAAGTTAAGATTTTGGTAGTTTTAAGGATTAAATATTAAGTTATATTAAACATTCTTCATATTTTTAACTCAGGAAATGTACCACAGGGTAGCTTTTTTATATACTGAGAAGTTATTACAATTTCCCTTTATTTTTTTAAATTTACATGTTTTAAATTATTTTTGTCCTTTTAATTTTAAAGTATATTTTAAAGATTTTATTCTTAGACATAAAATATTAGATGATTTTACATACATCCCGTTTTTGACCCCTTGTAAAATGTTAAAAACACCTGTTTAATACTGGGAAATTTCGATGTTTTTCTTTAGAATGGAACCAGAATAGCCGAGGCACCAACCGAGACCCGAACACTGGTGAACAATCATCAACAACAGGGTCAGTCAGTGCAGCAACCAGCTGTTGGTGTAAACTCCAAGCAGCCAGCGGTGGTGGGTGTTGTTACACCAACGACAACGACAGCAGCTCCAGCAACCATACAGGGTGCCCCGGAGGCGGCATCCAGCAATGTAAAGGCAGCCACAGCTGCGGTTGTTGCTGAACTAACAGCCGCTGTGGCAACAACTTCCGCCGCTGAAGAGACTCAGGTTGATGAGGAGCAAGAAGATGAGTTTGTAAGTTACAAAATTGTTACTTGTAAGAATTTATTTATTAATTTCTTGCTTGTTTTCCCACAGGAATCCGATCGCCGTGTGGGCTTTCAGGTAGAGGGCGAAGACGATGACTTTTACAAGCGGCCACCCAAATTGCACAGAAGGTAAGCCCAATTAGTTATCTATTAGGCTTACAGCAAGGACTAATTCTCCGATCCTTATCAGGGACACTCCGCATCATTTGAAGAACAAACGTGTGCAGCATTTAACTGACAAGCAGGCCAGCGAGATTCTGGCCAACGCTCTGGCCTCCCAGGAGCGCAACGATGCCACGCCGCAGCACTCGCTTTCCGGCAAAGTGCAGTCGCCCATCGAGGAGGAGGAGCAGCTGGAACTGGAGAGGGAGCAGGACCAACAGAAGCAGCAGCATCCCTTTGATGCATCACTCTCGCCCATTCCGGCCAGCGGCAAAACGGAAGCTGGCACCGAGCAAGGTAAATAGACGCAAAATTGTTTCAATTAACTAAATTTATATTTGCTGAATCTCTGTGAACTCTGGGTGCAGCATCATGCCGTCATTGATGGGAAATCGATAGTAATTTTCACTCATTTGGCTGGGCTGCTGGGCTGACCTGTAAGGGCAGACACTGAAGTGGAAATTTAATTGGCATCTTTGCCCGTCCACCCGGCCCATTGGCTGCAAAGTGAAACCACAAAGAGCCCTGGCCGAGACCACCCATGACCCCTTTTAATTGTTGCCGCTCTCTGCACGCCATCTATGCATAAATACATGCATTCAAGTGCTCTTTTTTGGGTCTAGGCCTAGCACTGAAGCTGTGCTCACTTCCGATATAATTATATCAACAAATAACAAAAAAAGGTTGAGAAAAAAATGGTAAAGAGATTAAGAGAGGGAGGGAGACATAGAGAGTGTGCGGGTTATAGTGTTGTCAGAAAAATAGCTTAATCGATATATATATATAGAAACAAATCAGAAAATAATTATAAAAATATGAATTGGTATATTTAAATTTACCATAAAAAATATTCAAAATTGTTTGGTTTCTTGTTAAATAGTTTAAATTGCTATTATTCTGCAATAAACTATATAAATTCCTTTGAAATGTGTTCTACACATTTAAATATTAAACAAAAATATTTATTTACTATGTTAATCTGTTTTAGATATTTTGTTTTGAGCATTATATACTATGACTTTAGATCTAAAAGAGTCTCTAGTGATCACACTTAGGTAAACATTTAAAAAACTCAAAATCATGTTTTTTTTTTTAAATTTAAATTACCGAAAAAGCCAACATAAAAGTGAGCATCACTGCTCTTTGATTACGCCAGCGGAATACAGGTGTAGAAACCGCGCTGAGCTTGTGAAACACACACGCAACAGGCGTACAAACTTGGCCTATAAATAGCGTATAGGTAATGCACATATAGTGGTGCCCGCTTATCATCCAGCGATATCTGCCCGCTGGGCTTGCAAAAGCTGATAAAAAGCGAGCGAGCGGATACCACCGATAATACTCACTCAAAAAAAAAAAGAAAAGAAAAGGGGTAAACAAGCAAAGAGCGCAGCAAAAACGAGAGACGTGCAAATGAAACTGAAATGAGGTGGAGACTCATTAGAGCTACCTGGGCAGCGGTAGTGGGAGAGAGTGCGAGTACCCGAGAGCGGGAGCGAGTGCAATTGCCAGACTTTGGGTCCCATCGCTTGGCCCACTCGGCGCCTGCTTTAGTCATTCTTCAGTTACGCTTGCGTTTTGTCAACGTCGCGAGAGACGCGCAATAGCATTCGTCACCGTACTTACTTACCTTTGGCTTATTTATTTTTTATTTACTTTTATTGGCATTCAAAACAGAGAGCAAAACTTCCTCTCAAGAGGCTGAGGCACAAATAACATTTCATTGTTAAATAGAGAGTGTGTGAAATCATATTTTTCCTTTGGCCCTTTTTATATATTTTATTTTTGTTCTTTCTGCCTACGTGTTGTGTGTTTATTGCTGTCTGTTATCGATTTTAGTCTCTGTTGTCAGTCATAATACCTTAACGGCTATGGAGGCAGGTGGCAGGTGGCAGCGGGTCATTCGTCTGGAAAGTTTCTCACATTGCGCATACGCAGCGTATGGCCCCGGGCCCCATAATTGAGCTACAGATGCAGTTCTCTATTCTGTGAAAAGCCTCAGGCGACTGGCAAGGTTGAGCCAGAGGAGGCGAGATGGTGGCCCCTAGGCTTCCCTATTTGCATTTCGGCTGCATGTGCATATATCCCCCCGAAAATGAGCTACTTGAAAGTAAATTTAGTCTTGTTTATATAGCCGGGTTTTCAGTTGCATATTTGCAGATGGCAAACAGGAAAAGTGCTTCGCTTTCGGTACGGTTGTGTGTGTGTGCATATCCGGTTACCCGGTTACTTCCTTGGCCTTTGCTTGGATTTTTCTGGTTCTCGTTCTGGTTCTGGTTAGATATTGGCAATACAATCAACATTTGCACAATTCCTTTGACATTCCTCGCACTTTTTGCAACATTTCTTGCCGCATCTGATGCACATTTCCCTCATCTCTCTTAAAGTAGTCGGAACTGAAAAAGATTCCGTTACCGTCACCGATTCCATGTCGACCAATGAATGTTGGCCAATAAATAAACCGTTGATAAGCTCAAGGCAATGGCATTCATTATTTATGTATTGTATCGTTGATTGCATGGGATTCTTATTGAATTTTTGCCCGTCCGTATGTTGCAAGTATGTGTGTTTGATTCCCATGAATGTGAGTGTGTTTTGTGTGTGTGTGTGTGCTGTATGATTGTTGTTTGCCGGCTTGTTTGCTCGGTGCGCCCTTTCATCACTCACTGCAATGGAGTTTGCATTATTATTTGCTGTTCTCTTGCAGCTCGCAGCTCACAGCTCACAGCTTTTGTGCAAACAGCAATTTAAACTATTTGCAGTCGGCATTTGGCATTCTTTCTATCATCAAATAAACACAATTTTGGGCTGGCCCAAACTGTTTAAGCTTTCGTTGTGGAATAACCCTGAACCGTGGCCCGCCCTTTTCACAGTTGCATGCTAAGTTTATCGCCTAAAACCGCGTCACTCTCCGGTCTCTCCCTCGCTCACTTGTGACAGTTTTTCCCCCTTCCAAAACCCCATCTTCGCGGGAAAACAAACAAAAATGCAATAAACGCCAGCTGCAGCTGGAAACTGCAACGAGGAGAAAGAGCGAACGAGGCTTGGGTCAAAGAATTTCACTGCGTATTTTCCAATATTTCCGTTTGTCGCCACTGCCACTGCCAGTGCCACTGCTGACGCCATGTTGATAGCATGGAAATGTGGAAAATTCGAGTAATTGTCGAGGAAAACACTCTGGGATCTGGGATCTGGGAACTCAGGGGGAATGCGACCTGAATTGTTGCCACCGACTTGCTGGCTGGCTGGCTTTTAATGCAATCAAAATGAACATGGCGCGCGGTTTTCATTACCAAAACACGTTGGTTGTTGTTGTTTCCTACCTTCATGATATCACCGTTCGTTTTTGGCTATAAACTGATTAATCACCTATGCGCGATCACATTTGGTTTTCACTGATTATGCGGCATGTAGGAAATAACGCATGCGACAGGTGGACCAAGGTCATTACCTGCCACTTGGACTCTTTCCCTTGTAATATTTCCAAAATTTCGTAAAATTTCGTAATGATTCAGAGTTGTGCTGCCTTATCGTGTGTTTGTTTTACTACGTTCGCTTTGTTATTTTTCCCCCTCCTTGTTTTGGGGCCTTATCACATTCGGCTTAGGCATTCTAAAAGTTCGATTAGATAGCACTGTGAACGTCACCCCTTTCCTACCAGAATCTCTCTCAGAGAAGCTACCGTCACTTGGGCTTTGTTGTCCGGAATATTTCATGGGTAGTTCTTTATGCTTTCGCATAAAAAACTTTGTTCATTAATTTTTGTCGCCACATTTAAGCGGCCATCGTTGCTCGGTCGGTTTTGTTGATTTCCAAAGCTTAACACTTGCAATTTGTCAACAGCATCGCTACCCGGCGTTTAACCTGGCGAGCAATTAATCACGCAGCCTTCCACTTTTTCCATAACTGTCGCATTTTTTTAAAACTCCCTACAAAATAATAAAAAAAGGTAGGGTGTGCAGCTCACGTGACATTGCGGAAAGAGAGGTCTTTTGTTGGATTTAAGCTTTAATACTTGATCTCTTGCCATTGATAATGTCGGGGTAATTAAAATCGATTGAACACTGTTTGTTATTCGTTGTGGAAATCAAGGGAATTGCCATGAATGGGAAAGTTTTCCTTTTCTTTTTCACTTGTCATAACGAACGTGTCAGTTTCCTAGAAGCTGCAGGAATACTTGGCCCACATTTTGGCCACAGTTGTTGGGGTAGGTGGAAAAACCTCCGAATTCCGAAAAGAATGAAATATGATTTTGTGCCCTTGGCATGTGTCCATGCTTGGGGCTAATTTCTTCTCCTCCTGCAGGTCATTTACATATAAATGACAAAAAAAAAGAATAGAAAACAAAAACAGAGCAACTGTCTGGGCATTGATTTGGAATTTTGGCATTTGTCAGCTTCGAGATGCTGAACCAAAATCTTATGCGAATGCGAATGCTAATGCTAATGCATTCGTGGAACCATCATTTCGAATTGCCACCTCCGTTTTACGACGGACGGGGCCCTTTGGCCCTGTATTTCGGTGTATTTAAATTTTTATATGTTTATGCTTATGTTTATGCCATTTATTTTACGGTGAGGACAACGGCGATGTCCTTATTTCGGGCTCACCTCATTGAGCTGCTTGCTTTTTCCCCCGTGATGTCATCGTAAAATGCTTAAATGCCCGCTTAAGTGGGTGCAAGTTTGCCCTGGCAATCGGTGAAATAATACAGATAACAAAATAAATATGGAGGGAACAAATGACTTTATGCTATATTTCGTGCAGTTTGTCGAAAATATTGCCTACATTCCGGGGCAGGCAAACCGGAATAAAAACACAGCACGTGTCATTCGGGGGGAAGAAAAATCTTATTTTGTTTTATTGTTTTTTCTCCCCTCTCTCCTACCAAAAATATGGCTATGAGAGCGGGATGCTCTCGCATGTGTGTATAGCCATAAAAATGTATTTCGTTTAGACATTTGTCCAACAATCGAGAGAATCAAACTGTTTGCACTTGAAACATTTAACCAGAACACAACACCTCGGAGGAGAGAACACAAGACACAACTTGAGGCAGACTTGGTTGGCTCTGTAAGCAAGCAAAAGCAATTCAAATTTGTGAATACCTCACTCAACTTAGCAAACTCAATAATGGCACATCGAGTGAATGCCAATGTCGGTCCTGCGACTGAAATCCCGCAATATTAATGTTGACTTGACAGGCAGGCATCCAAGGAGACAGGGAAGCAGGAGCCAAGGATTCGCTCTGTCTTTTCTTCATTTATGCCTTGATTAACATGAAGTCTCTCGCTCGCATACAATTACAAAGTGAAATTGTCTCGAGAGCGACTTTCCTTCTCATCTTGTCTGCCCCCTGAATCCCTGACAGTCTTGAAAACAAAATCATTTTGTTGGCCAAAGTGCCGACGGATTTATTGAGTGCAAATCAGCAATAGCGAAAATGAAAGCAATAAATGTGTTTCTCTGGCTGCTGCTGGTACTCATCTCTTCTTTGTGTGCCACCTGCTCCTGCTCCTCCTCTTGCCACCTGAGGGATGTCTGGTAGAGTTTTCCTCCTCTGCCAGGCGACCCTGACTGGCAGACTGTCTGTTTATTTATTTAATAATTATACAAACTCTGTCGGTAGGATGATGGTGGGGGGTATCTTCGCCAAGGTCGTTGCCTTAATGCCTGTTTCTAGTCAGGGGAATATGGCTTTCGTAGTGGTTCATTGACTGCCGTTTATGGGCAACTGCCAGATGCTCCTGCTGCCCCTCTTTTTGCCAACTTTGGGTCATTCAATTTGAATGCCATTAAAGCGAAATTTATGCTGAGCACAAGTACAGGTCTTGTTTTGGGAATCTTCTTTGCCTCCTATTTAAAATTTCATTAAATCAAGGCAATCAAAAAATTGTAATAGTATAATTCCACTGATGATATTGCATTGATGGGGTTTTCCAGTCCAATGAACCGAGGCTTTATCTAGGATCCCGGATCGATGCGCTTTTGCAGGCAGGCACAAGTTAGCTCTTCGCATATTAAAAAGTGCAGTCAAATAAAAAATAGGTTACCCCACACACACACTCACACACAGGAGGGTGTTGTCTGGACAGGACAAGATGCCTGGCTGCTGCTGCCTATATTAAAAAGTGCACTCAAATAAATAAAACAACAATCAAATCGAGTTCGAGTTCGAGTTCGAGTCATGTTCAATGTCAAAATCAAAGTCAAGGAGGGTAACAACACCCTGCCCCGCAATGGCCAACGCAGTAATGGCAACTTCAACTACTCGGGACGCAATAGTCCCGCCACGAGCAGCCTGCGCAGCTCTCTAGCCTCCTCCAACCGGAGTCCCAGTGGTTCCCTGCAGCGCAAGGGAAAACGGGTGCGGATTGTGACCAGCTACGATCCGGTGGATCGGGACTATGAGAGGCAGAGGCAGCACTATGGTAAAGTGCCGGGGAAATGTTGATGAATCTCTTAACAAAATCAAAATTTTCAATACTTTTTCTTCTTCCCTTGTTGCAGACAACTTGGACGGCGTCACGGAACTCCGCTTGGAGCAGTATGAAATCCACATTGAACGCACGGCAGCCGGTCTGGGTCTTAGTATTGCCGGTGGCAAGGGCTCTACCCCATTCAAGGGCGACGATGACGGCATCTTCATATCCAGGGTCACCGAAGCCGGACCCGCTGATCTGGCCGGCTTGAAGGTGGGCGATAAGGTGATCAAGGTCAATGGCATAGTCGTTGTCGATGCGGATCATTATCAGGCTGTGCAAGTGCTAAAAGCCTGCGGTGCCGTCTTAGTACTGGTTGTACAGCGTGAGGTGACGCGCCTGATTGGACATCCTGTGTTCAGTGAGGATGGCAGTGTGTCGCAGATATCGGTGGAGACGCGACCCCTGATGGCTGAGGAACGTTACAACCCGGCATCTATGGAGCAGCAGCAGCCACAACAATATATTCCGCAGCAGCTTCAGCAACAGCCACAACCTATTCCACAGCAGTTGCAGCAGCAGCAGCATGTTGCACCCACGCACAGCTATTCGGGCAACGTGTTCGCCACACCCACGGCCAACCAGATTGCAGAGCCTGCTGTGACAACAGCACCCAATGGTTTGCTGCTCAACGGCAAGGTGGGTAACCATAACCCAAATCCAGCAATGAAATTTCCCTCGGACCGTGTTTGATTGATTTCTGGTTTTCCCTCCCCCGCCTTTTGTGGTTTTTGCAGGAGGCTCCGCTGAGCTTCATCCAGCTGCACACGACGCTCATCCGCGATCAGATTGGCCAGGGACTGGGCTTCAGCATTGCGGGCGGCAAGGGCTCGCCGCCTTTCAAGGACGACTGCGATGGCATTTTCATATCGCGCATCACCGAGGGCGGTCTGGCCCATCGCGACGGTAAAATCATGGTGGGCGACAGGGTCATGGCGGTGAGTAGGAGAATGGGGTGGTGGCAGCGCAGAAGGGCGGTAGCTAATGGCATTTCGTTGTACAGATTAACGGCAACGATATGACGGAAGCGCATCATGATGCCGCAGTGGCCTGTCTGACGGAACCGCAGCGTTTTGTACGCCTCGTTTTGCAGCGGGAGTATCGAGGTCCCCTGGAGCCGCCGACGAGTCCGCGTAGCCCAGCAGTGCTCAATTCGTTGAGTCCCTCTGGATATCTGGCCAATCGACCAGGTGGGTATATAGATAAGCAGAGCTTCTTAGAACCTAAATATTCTTAATATATCGTATAAAACTAGTTAGTATAAATTTCCGTGAGTAACTAAAGCTTTCTCCCTTTCCATTTCCACAGCTAACTTTGGCCGAACAGTGACTGAGCATGTCGAGCAGCCGTACAAGTACAATACCCTGGCTACTAGCACTGCCACACCCACTGCACCCACTGTTGTTGTGCCGTCTAGCATTAGCAACAACAGCACGCTGCCCAGCAGCAAAACAAATGGATTCCCAGCTGCTGCCACGATAGACAAAGCCACTGGGCAACCGGTGCCCGCTCCAAGACGCACCAACTCTGTGCCCATGGGCGAGGGTAGCGATGCAGCGGCCTCCACGGCCAGCGGTGATTCTGGGGAGGCTCAGGTAAGGCCAAGAAGTGGGATTCTTTTCACTCGGTAGTTAGTTACTCTCTAGTTTTACGTTTTAGCCAGTTTGCACGTCATTTTAATGTTGCCCATAAGCTCGTTTTTTTTGTTTTGTTTGTTACGATCATGATCAGTCGATAGGTTTACAAAATGTACAAACTTGCGCTGCAGATCTTTCTTTCTAATTTTTCCCATCAGCTGCAGAAGGTGAGTAACCAAATTTAATGGCAATTTATATATTTTAAGTGAAACTGCAGCGCAAGTAGTCCAAGCAAATTGTTGTTGATATTTGGCGCCCCAAAGAAAAATATATGAAAAACGGAAACATAAACACACTTACTAGCTGTAAGATACCTAATGTGTGCTAATCCATATCTCCGCCAGATTATCAACTACCCATAACCCTAGATGCTAGAACTATTTATTATAAACATAGCTCATCTACTCGTATGTATAACGAAATTGTTTGTGTTTGTTTTGCATGTGCCCTGTGCGCCTTGTTCGTCCTCGTCCCTACCCCTAAATGCCACAATCATTATTCTCCAAGCAATATATATATATTCGATAGAGTCTAAGTTCGCACTGAGATCCATTTGCCAGCTTTTGAACACCCATCAAGGATGAATTAGGCCAGAGTTTCCAGCAGGATTGTACATAAATATTAAAGATATTAGCTTAGTCATAGATCTAACCATAGAGCTTCTCATTTAGCGCCTCAAAAAAGTGTAACCAAAATTTACAAAAACCAACATATTTTTTGTTTTCTTTTTCTCTCTGAACCACTCAACCATCTCCCCCCAAAAAATCAAACCTTGCTTAAAACCGATCTTTCCGAATCAAAAAAAAATCGTTGATAAAAACCAAAAACCACGTTAACCGGCACACCATGAGCAGCCCTCCTCGTTGCGCCCGCTGACCAGCGACGATTTTCAGGCGATGATTCCGGCCCACTTCCTCAGCGGCGGCAGTCAGCATCAGGTGCACGTGGCCAGGCCCAACGAGGTGGGCGTGAGCGCCGTCACGGTGAACGTGAATAAGCCGCAGCCGGATCTGCCCATGTTCCCGGCGGCACCCACCGAACTTGGCCGTGTCACCGAGACGATCACCAAGTCCACGTTCACGGAGACGGTGATGACGCGCATCACCGACAATCAGTTGGCGGAGCCCCTAATCAGTGAGGTGACTATCTCGACATCACGCATACACTAAGAGCCAGAGTCCCAGAGTTAACGAATCGTTCTGTAAAAAAAGACAAGTCCGGACACTTTTAAAGATACAATACACCCTGTAAATCTGCCCAAGGAAATCGAGCTTTTCTCGTCACACACCAAGCACGCACACCGTACACACCGTACACCCTCGATGCACCCAACACCAAAATTATTTAGTTTAAATTTAATTTATTACGTTTTTTTTCGCTATTGGCACTTTGATAATTATTGGTCGCATTTTTGCTGAATAAATATTTGGTGCGTTTTGCAAACGATTTGATTTAACTGCTGGTCAGGAGGCCCTAAAGAGGCTCCTGTGAGGCGATGTGAGGAGGCCGCCGAGTTTTCACCCATGATTCATGCCGAGCATTATGCAAAACATGCACATTTACAAGAGGTTGTGATTGCTTCGACTAATTGATTAGCAATTGGGATGGCCTTGGCTTCAATTTTGGATAAGGTGGCTTTGGAAATTGTATTTACTAAACCAAAGACTATTAAATAACAAGATGGGAGGTTACTCATTCTTTTATTAGAATGTCTTCAAGCCTCTAAAAAGAAGACCACTCTTTTCCTGTTTTAAGCTAACTTTTTAATCCTTAAAGTTTTACTAACACTGGATAAAATATATATATAACTTTTTCTATCTGCCAAAAATCTTCTGGTTTATGTTTATTTTCCTAATAATTTAACACTTAAAGTAATGGGAATATTATCTTTTAAATGCTTTTTTTTTCCCTATTGCTCCTTGGAAGGGCAAAGAGTCAACACTTGAATATTTAGAGTCCTTTGGTGGTATCTGAAATCTATTCAAGTGACAAGCAAAGCGCTTTCAGAACGCTTTTGCACACTCGGTACCATAGAGCCACTCAAGTGTCATCGCTGACATGATGCAAATCCCGGCCAGAAATCTCCGAAACTCTGATGCAGCCGAAAATATATACATATACGTGTATATAAAGTTATATATATCAGTAAACCAGCCGAGGCTATGCAACATGCAGAGATCCTTAAATAATAAAGTGAGCCAACAGCAAGTGGAGTGGAGACCAAAAAAACCCCAAATGACTCTGCCTTGCCTTGCCTTCTGTGTGTGTGTGTGTGCAGTGAGGCCTTAAGTAAACTTTAAATATTTCTGTTTGCCATCCCAGTCTCTGATTGCGAGTGTAAACACTCTCCGGGGCAATGCTAAATAAAATATTTAATTGTTTTTCATTTATTTCCCTCTCTGCCGTCGATGGCTTCGAACTTTCGGCAATTGAATTCCTTCAAGATAATTGATAAAAGTTAGCAGTAGTTGGCAGCCCAGGTACATGTGTTTATTTGGCACCTTGACACGAGTCAGTCAGTAGTTTCTCCTCTTGACTATGAATATAAAAGCCAGAAGCAGAAGCATTATGCTTTGATGTTGGCCACAAGCACCACAGAAGCTTTGTTTAAATCTCTGTGAAAGTGCCTGAAAAACAAGAATGTTCTGGTTAAAAGTTACCCTCACTTGCTTTAATCTAAAATTAAGTTATTCATAAGAAAAAGCACAAGAGTTATTAATTATTTATTGAATGTATCACCCCCTTTGCCTTGGTATTTGATGTGTAATGAATGCTCAACTTAATTGCATGGCTTTGTACGGTTTTGGTTTCGGTTTGGGTTGGGTTTTGTGTGTGTGAATGTTAATGTATATATTTTAAATGTAAATGTAAATATGAATATCACCAACAATTTTGCACCTAAGCACACCTCATCCATGGATCACTCACCTTACACGACGGCAGTCTCTCTGTAGGATATCTAGAGCTTAGGCCCCATTGAGTGTGTTAATTTTGTGATGTGCTAACACTTTCCTTGCTCCCCTCTGCAGGAGGTTGTGCTGCCCAAGAACCAGGGCTCCCTGGGCTTCAGCATCATCGGTGGCACGGATCATTCCTGCGTGCCTTTTGGCACTCGAGAGCCAGGCATTTTCATATCGCATGTAAGTATGGGTTAGCTTCGGCTGGGGGGAAATAGTTTGAGGGAAAGCTGGAAAAACTTTTCGAATTAAAACACTCGAGTGGCCGATGCAAATGAGCTGCTGCACAATTGTGCAGTGGCTCGGCCGGCCGGTGGCTTCATTATAAGCCAGCTGCAGGCTGCCAACTTGAAACTTTGAAGTTTTTTTGGCCAGCCTTCCTTCATTCATAATCCCAGAGCCACGAGTATAACAATTACCCTTGGGGTTTGCTTCTTCCGCTTCATCCTTTTAGATTGTGCCCGGCGGGATTGCCTCGAAGTGCGGCAAGCTGCGCATGGGAGATCGCATACTGAAAGTCAACGATGCGGATGTGTCCAAGGCCACGCACCAGGATGCCGTGCTGGAGCTCCTAAAGCCGGGTGATGAGATAAAGCTGACCATTCAACACGATCCCCTGCCGCCAGGTTTCCAGGTGAGTCAAAGCTTTCCACATTATACCTGTTTAATTAAGTGCGCCTGTAAATATGTATATATGCTTTGGATCCACTTTTGATTCCTCTCTCTCTCTGTATAATCTTTGTACACTTTGCCACTGCTCGCAACAAATTCGATACGCACAGAGCATAGAAGTAGTTTATGTAACAACAGAGGTAAGCTCCTCTCGTCCCTTTCGCAGAGGAAATATTCCAATTAGTCAAATGCTTCCACAGTTTATGTTTCCCTAGAGTTTCTCCCGCCTTTGTTCAGCTGCAATCCAGATTGTTATTTGCCAGCTCTTGAGCCAAGTCCTCGCTAATTTCTCCCACTCCCTTGTTCTCTCTCCTCTTTGTTAATTGCAAATCGCAGGAAGTGCTCCTCAGCAAGGCGGAGGGCGAACGTCTGGGCATGCATATCAAGGGCGGCCTGAATGGGCAGCGCGGTAATCCAGCCGATCCCTCCGACGAGGGTGTGTTCGTGTCCAAAATCAACTCGGTTGGAGCAGCCAGACGGGACGGAAGGCTTAAGGTAACGTTCATTCTTTGTGGTTTGTCTACCGAAACTGAAATCTTTCCCTGCGCACAGGTGGGAATGCGTCTCTTGGAGGTCAATGGACACTCGCTGCTTGGCGCCTCACACCAGGATGCGGTCAGTGTGCTCCGCAATGCCGGCAACGAGATCCAATTGGTGGTCTGCAAAGGCTACGACAAGTCCAACTTAATTCATTCCATTGGCCAGGCCGGCGGCATGAGCACTGGCTTTAACTCGTCTGCATCCTGCAGCGGTGGCAGTCGCCAAGGTAAGGTAATCCCCAGCTTAGCGCCCGTCCGTCTTTGACTGTGCTCCTTTCCCCCATCCAGGTTCGCGTGCTTCAGAGACCGGTTCGGAGCTGAGCCAGAGTCAGAGTATATCCAGTCTGGACCACGACGAAGAGGAGCGGCTGCGACAGGTGAGTGCAGGATTTAAAGAGACGCACGAACAGGTCTTTAAATTCGCTCGACTTCCCAACAGGACTTCGATGTTTTCGCCTCGCAGAAGCCAGATGCACAGCCAACGAGCCAAACGGGCCTGGCAGCTGCTGCGGCCCTGGTGCACGGAGGAGCTACCTCGCCCACGCCTACGCCATTGCCCACGCCAGAGGCTTCCGCTGATTTAGCAGCAGCACCGGACACGCCAGCCGCACAGACCGTGGCGCTCATTCACGCGGAACAGGCTCAGTCGCAGGCCCACGCCCAGGCCCAGCTGGCGCCGCTGGGTCAGGAGAAGAGCACCCAGGAGAAGGTGAGTGGACGTGGACGGTGCACGACCTTGGTGGGCAGTTTGTGTGAATTGTTTCGCTTGCAAATTAGGTGCTGGAAATTGTACGCGCGGCTGACGCCTTCACGACCGTGCCGCCAAAGTCGCCATCGGAGCACCCCGAACAGGACAAGATACAGAAGACGACGACGGTGGTTATATCGAAGCACACGCTCGACACGAACCCAACTACCCCGACGACGCCGGCAGCCCCGCTACCCATCGGGGCGGCTGTGGCCGAGTCAGCGACCCCGTCGGCATCCGCTCCAGCCCAGGTCGCCATTCCCGCTGTGGCCGTGCAGACGCAAACGAAGGATGGAGAAGACGCCGACGAGCAGGCCCCACAGGTATGTAGCACCTGACTGGATGCACGTCTCCTGTCCTGTCATGGCTTTAACATCTTTGTGTCTGTATCCGTAACTGTGTGTAACTCTGTGTGTGTACGTACGTCTTTCGATCTCGCATTCGTTTGTGTTCGTTCCCTCACTCAGGGTACTCCGGGTACTCAGGGTACACAACAGATACACCCATGTAACCGCTAACACGAACCGACAGTCGCCACCCCCAAAAAAAAACCAACTCAAACTCAAACTCAAACTCAAACTCGAAACGAAACCCAGCGCAATCTCTTAACTTGATTTTTGTTTCGCATTCAGCTTGTTATGTGTTTGTGTAACTTCACTAATGCCTTTGTCCTGTCACTGACATTGCGTGCCCCCCGTACATACGAGTGTGAGTGTATCACACAATTTCAAATATAATATACGAACGAGGCGAAAAAGATGACAAACTGAAAAATATAAAAAACAGTACCAGTAACACCCACTCCATATCATCTCACATAAAACCACAGACAGAGAGGTCACAAAACTCTTGTGATAAGTCTGACATGTGATGCCAGTTTCCAGTTTGGAAATTTGCAAACAAATCGCGCAGCATGATAGCACCATCAGACCATTAAAACCCATCTGAAACTGTAACTAAAACCGAAATAATCATTGCATATACATACATATTTGAATTCCCCTCGAAACACTTTCTCATTCGTTGTTCATCGATAGGTATTTGCTTTTGTTGCTGCCTTAAAGCGTTTTTCTGTTGCATTTGAATTAAAAATGAATTGAGGAAAAAAATCATTGCCTATCTCTGTGGGCCGCTGTGCCACTGGGGCGTATGAGTTATGTGTTGTGCATGAGCGTGTGTGTGTAAGTGTGTGTGTCGGGTTGGCTTAGCTTAGAATCGTGCTGCCCTTGGTCTGGAGTGTAGCCGCTCCCTCGCATTTATTGATATGGCAGCAGACAATTTATTATTTATTAGCATATTGGCTGCTGGTGCTGCTCCTGGCTGCTGCTCTGAGCCCGGCCCAGGCTCCTTGGCCCTGGCCATTGTTCTTGTTGAGTTTCATTGTTGTTACCGTTTGTTGTCGTTGTTATTTATGCTACTTTCATATTATATTCATTTCAGTTTGCGTCTTTACTGTTGCTACCTTTTGCCCCTTTTTGCGTAGGCGGGCGGCATTGTTATTATTGTTATTGTTAACATTGATGTTGTTGTTGTTATTGTTATTGTTGTTGTTTGTTGTTGTGTTTTATATAAGCGGCCGCCTTTGTCGGCTTTAAAGCATGCCCCATTTGAATTTGCATTGAAAGCCACCCGACCCGGCGTAAGGCAAGGGGGACTGAAATCAGGCATACACAACACACTGTACTCACTATATAGATGGCACGTATAATAAATGTAAATGTAAATAATTCAAAAACTGCAGAAAGAAACGAAAATTTCCATTAAAACGTCTCTCTTATCTTCTTCTCGTCCTTGTTCTTGTTCTTGTTCTCTCTCATCCCTCCCCTAAAATTTCCTCAATAATGTGCGCGTTGTTCGACGCTTTTCAACGAATTTCTTGATTTCCTTTCTTTTTATTTTTTACTTTATTTTTTCTGAATCATTCTGCAATCTGTTGGTTTGTTTTCCGAATTTTCGTATTGTTTTTTGGGCCCCCCGTTTCTCCGATTTCCCAACCGATTTCATTGCAGCTTACTGCTGAGCAGCGCATTGCTTAACAAGCGGATGTTTATCACCATAAGACTGAATATTTAGTTTAAACTGACAGGAATACAGAATACAAGAGCAACAGGACAGGACACGACTGCTGCTTGCTCGAGTGTCCTGCAAGAGTTGAAATTTATACAAAACCTAAGAGGAAGCAAAGCGAGGAGCGTGTTCAAAGGGCCAAGAGTTACTACCAACCGCACTAGGCAGCGTTTACTATCCCCTACTATTCCCTCCTCCTCCCAATCGAAATTCAATCAAAACTGAACGCACTCGACTCGGCAAACGGTTTCAAAGTCTCTCACTAGATCTCAGTCCCTCAGTATCGACAGAACAGCAACAAATTTTCAAAAGGAACAACTGAGAACACTCAATGCAAGCAACAAGAAGAATAATGAACGTGTAAATGTATTTATCAAAGCGCAGTTGTCGCCATTTTGCGGCAGAAAGTACTCCACTATACATATAGTCTTTCGATGTTTATACTATGTGAAACCGAAACCAAAACTGTTTACTATATAAAGACACTTACACACACCGAGACACACTCACTATATTACTAAATGTGTAACAACGTGTGGCAAGCACACACAAAAGGTCCAATTATGCAACTGAATAATACTCAAGAAGAGAGGAAATGGATGAGGAGTCTTGTTATATCACCTTTTGAAAGAGCCAAGCTATTCCTACACTGGGGATATTTTGTTAAAGTATCTACTAAACTGTTACCACAACTGAACTGTTAAACTGAATCCACACACCGTATTACCAAGGACCTTGTAATGCTCAAGATGCGTAACGCAAGTCATTTTCCTCTGGCTTTTCAATAACATTTCAAGAGATACTAGAGCAAGCTCTCTCCTTTGACAGTACGCATCTGATAGCTTATAATGTCTTTGTTTATTACCCATTGATTACTCCTTAGCAGAATGATTAGGACACTTACATGTCGCGTTTGAGTTTTCCCCCTCCTAATAATGATAGTTAAATTTAAAGTTAGCTAAATGGAATTCGAAGTGTGCATTTTTGATGTCAATAAATCTTAATGTATTTGTCGTAAAAAAAAAGAAAACCACCAAAAATGGGGAAAACTTTTAATTGCATTTCCGGGAGAAATTCGGCTTTCAGGGAGGCCACTCTTAGTTTTGCTCTCTAGAAGTTTCATTCCGAAAAGTTTTCTTTGATTTCATTATTTTCCTTTTGCCATATTGTGACTCGTCTTAGTGCGTCTCTGTACCCGCTATCTCTCTCTATATATGTTTAATATCGCTGCTGTTTCGCCATCATCAAGCACCGCCATCTTCGTGTGTCGAGTTCACCAACCCAAAAAATCATCAACGAGTAAATTGGCCAGAAGAGTCGTTGTCGCAGTCGCTGTCGCAGTCACTCACCTCATCATCAAGCAGAAAATCACTGGTAATTGGCTAATGGACGCAGGTTGCAAAAGGAGCACACAGAAAACAATACAAAATCGTACAACTTTTGTGTGTGTCGTTCGAGTGCACTCAACCTCCACCGCATCGTTAAGAAAAACCCACCATCGATGCATACTCACTGTCTTACAGCTACTTCACCAGTCCCAATACTTCAACAATACCCCACATCCAATTACTCCACTCACCAACCTGAAATCACCAATCTCCACTCACACCATTAACGCTGCACACCGCAATTTGTGTTCCAAGCTTGTGAGCGATGACGTTGCACCTGAAAATCAAAACAAAAACCAAAACTAAAACGATTCCATACCAAACTAAATGAGCAATCCACCAACAATTCAAACTCCACTAGCAACGAGGCACCCAGACACCGGATCGCCTGGCCCCGGGATCTCGCTATTCCTACCAGCAAATGCTGGAGAGCCAGGAGGAAAGCCGAAGCTCAGGAAAATCACAAGGCAACCAACAGTCGAAACCCAAAAAGGCAGAGCCCGTGTACATAATCGATGACGACGATGATGATGATGACGATGATGAGGCAGACTCCCAGAAGCTAGATGACATTGATGCCATTCAGGAGGAGGACGAAGAAGAGGATACCGAAAGCTCTCCACCCTTTGACCTGCAGTCACCACCCTCTTATGCAGACACCGATTCCGATTGCTTTGACCGCCGCCGTGGACGCTACACGAGCGACTCAGAGAGTGACTATCGACCGTACAAGCCCTCAAGATCGGGACGCAGCACCCCGGAGTACGGAGGGCATCGCAAGTCCGTCAGCTTCGACCTCAGCGGTGATGAGCGTTCCAGATCAGATTATGAGCGATCCCGTTCCCGAACCCCCGATGGCTACACGCGTGCCTACGACTCGGAGCAGGACACCCGGGGAAGTGGAAGGAACCGCCTTCCACGCAAAGGAATCCTGCGGGCCACCAGTCCCTGCTCCACTCTCGAAAAACCCGAGCCCATTGTGCCTGCCGTGGCGCGTATCCGAGACGTGGAGTCTCCCAAATTGCAGCGTGTTTCGCGAGCCACTTCACCGGATCCACCTGGGGAATTGGACCGGGAGAATCCCTTCCGGCATCCCGCAGCTGAGGATGATGAGTACACGCGGATAGCCAAGGCAGTGAGCAGGTCACCGCGCTCACCACGTTCCACCCGGGAGCAGTTCTTCTTTGGCTCCTCGCGATCCAGCGAGGATCTACTGGAGCAGTCGCAGTCGCAGTCCAGTGGCCGCAGCACACCCAACACAGTGATTTCCAAGTCCACCGAGAGCCTGACGGGCACCCGTCCAAAGGTACCGCCGCCTACGGCGCCGAAACCGCAACTCAAGAAGGCGGACCTGGTGCGAAACGTGGCGCTGGAGACTTTCCAGGCCAGCGATGTGGGTCAGGGCGACTTTACGGTCTTCGAGCACGACGCCAGCACGAATACGATCCATCCCGTGGAGGCCAAGCTGCCCGTTAGGGTGGTGACCAAGGCGACAACAAAGCCACCCAGTCGCCCGAGGGAGTCACCGCCGCCGCCGCCTGTGAACTATGCCACCCTGCCGAGCAAGGTCCCGGGAACGCCCACTTTGCGGGAGGAGGAGTCGCTATACATGGAGGCGCTGCCACCCACGCCCTCACAGCTCCGCCCCCATGAGTTTGTGCACGAGAACTCGCCTGACAATATTCTGGTGTCGCCCCAGGAGCACCGCGAGTATCTGCTAAGGGAGAACGAGCTGAGGAACCAGCTCCGCGCCCCCTACGAACCGGCGCCGCCCATTCCAATTGTGAGCAGCGGATACTCGGTAACGAATCCCTTCCTAGATAGTTGCGACACCGACATTGACAGCCTGCCACTGCCACCGCCTCCCAACTACTCACCTCCCGCCCAACAGCAGACGCCAACCAATCACCACCAACACCACACACGTCATTTGCATGAGCCTCCGCCTCCGCCTCCTCCGGTGTTTCAGTTCCCGTCACCACTAACCGCTAACGCATCCTCGTCTCCATCTTGTTCTTCCAATGCTGCTGCTGCTGCCGCCACTACTAACCGCTTGATGGACTCCTCGCCGCAACAGCTGCTGGTCGCCGGGTCGCCCGCAAACATCTTTCCCACGGCCCAGATACTGCCCGTGCAGTATGCCAGTCTGCCGCAACCGCAGCAGCCCAACACGCTCACCCTCAAGTCCGCTTCTCCCTCTGGCTCTGGTACCCCTTCCCCTGCCACTGGCCCCTCTCCCGCCACCAGTGCCGGGCCCCTTTTTAACCTGGTCCTTTTGCCTGGCGACCAGCTGGGGGGCAACAGCTCCTCGCCGGCCGTTCTCTACCTGCAACCGTCCCAGTTACCGGTGAGTGAATCGAGTGGAAAGCCGCGGCGTAGTGTGCCACCTCCGCCACCTCCTTCCGTTCCCGCTCCAGTGTCCGTTACCGTTACCTCGCCCACGCCCTCGTACGCGGCCATGAAGTTTCCGACCTTCTCGGAGATACTCAGTCCCGACTCAAATAGCAATTACCAAAACATGACGACGGCGCGCGTTGGCATCTCGAATTCCTCGCTGGCCAACAGCACCAGCTCCTTTTCTGTCAACTCCTCCAGCTCTTCGCTGCTGCTGGCCAAGGCCAGTGGAGGTGGTGGCAACTCCTCCTCCAGTCACGGCTACTACGAGACGGCCGAGGAGATCTACTCGACCATTGAGGAGGAAGCCATCTACAGCAACACCTCGTTCTTTGACTCGCGCCGGAGCAGTGATACCTCGGTGTCGTGCCGGGCCTCCAAGTCTCCTACGCCACCGCCACTGCCGCCCAAGAGGCCACAGAAGCCCATCAAGCTGCGCACTGCCCCTGCTCCGCCACCGGTGGCCCAGAAGCCTCACGGGCTGAGGGGCATGGCCAGCTTCAAGCTGCGCTCTCAGTCGCAGCCGCAGTTGGAGGGGGCTTGGGTGCAGCCCCCATCCACGCCCCGCACTCCTGGCACGCCCACTGGCAAGGAGACAACGGTCTAGGATTTCCTTCATCTGAAAAACGCATTTTGAAACCCAGAAAACCTGTAAAGATGGCAATTTTAACAAACTAATTTTAATATTAAAAGTATTTCAAATTAATTCTATAAAAAAGTCTTACGGAGCTGCTTAAAGCTAGCCCTTAGTTTTGGTTAACTAATAACTTAACTAGCCTTGGAAATTCCGTTGGATTTTTGCCTAACTACCTGACTTTGTACTTTCACCATGGCTCTGACTTTAATTGCTCCTAAGCTGACCGCATTTGGTAGATGCACCCTTTTTACTACCTCTCTTTCTTCTGTGCGCCTTGTCACAGCTCATACATTTTAATTAAATTCTAACACCTTTTTGCCATCAATTAAATGGCCCAGCCCCAGCAATTTTCCTATCCCCACCGAGTGTCTGTCTCACCGCTTTTCGCCAGTAATTTTCAATATTTTCGTTGCGCTCTCGCTGGCAATTTAAATTGATTGATTTGTGGGTCGTGTCTGGCGCCGAACTTGCGCTGCTGCTGCTGCACCTTTCCTGCTAATTAGATGCAACTTTTTGTTGACTTTTGAGACTCCTCTTGCGTCCCCATTGGGCTTGGGCAAAGCCAATTCCCCCTCGCAAAATTGCAGCTGAAGTTGAGCAGCAAGTGGTTGAAGTTTAATGTGCAGCTCCCTGTCACTCCAGCCCATTGCCTGTTGGGTAGGGTGATGGCTGTTACCCTCTTTGGCTCAGTGTCGGCCAAGTTTAATTTGACGTTGATTGAAACAGCTGCCCACCACCTGCAGTTACCACGCCCACTGGGTCATTAATTTTTTTTTTTCCAGCCATTGCTGGAGCTGGAGCTCCTGCTGCCGTCGCCGCCCGTCTTTATTATTGCTTTGTTTTGCAAACACGAAAAACCAACGAATAAATAAGTATAACGATGAAAAATACCTGAATATAACGATAACAGAATAACGAAATAACGAAAATAATAGAAAGAACAGAAAAACAGACAGAAATTACAATTTTACAATTTATAAAGTTCATTGCTAAGTTGATTTTAATGCTAATTTATTTTACCAAGACAAAGCGAAGCGAGCTGAACATTTTTAATTGCATACCTTAAGGCAAATAAACATTGCGTATTATTCCTATTTGCGTTCCGTGGTCTCTCTTTTTCATTTTGTCGTTGTCTTTGTGTAAACACAATTCTACCCAATTGTATGATAGCCCACCCGCAGGCTGACTCCCCCGACCTTGGCTCACTTCTAGCCACCTGTCTAATTGGGCCTTTGACCCCAATTACCACTTCGAACTCGAGGCAAGTGCCAAGTGCCGCATGTACCTGGTTAGCATGTGGCCAGCACGGCACCTGGCCTGGCACTGATTTGGCCCGAGAGCTATTACCCCTTTTTATAGGGTTCCCTTGGGCTCTTATCTTATCGCGGTACTTCATTAATTGTCACGATAAAGAGCCGCCGTCGTTGTTCATGTATCATCGCCTTATCGCATATGTCACCACACACACGCACCCAAATCTTGGGCACCAACATTTGCTGAATAATTCAATGGCTTATTGGCTTTTAATGCGCTGACCAGAGCTGCAAGCACACACACACACATACGACACACAGGATTCGGGTATCACACACACAGTCTCAACACTTTCATGGCTCAATAAATTCCTATTAGCTGGACTGCTGAGCAGGCCAAAAGGCAGCAGCTACTAGAGAGCTCTAGACTGATGCTGATAAACCGGCTCTCTTGGTGTTGCCTCTTCGCATTGACTTTAATTGAAAATCGAAAAATCCGATACGAAATTAATTTCTCTTCTAAAAATACAGCTCAGTTAAGCTGTGCCACCCACTTTTACTCCAGCAGCTTTCACTTCTTCTCCCCCTCATGCACTTGTCGGTGTGCCTCCCCCCTTGACTTGGTTTATTTATGAGCTCTCTCTCGGACTGGTGTGTGGTCCTGGCCCTGGTCGTGGTCGTGGTACTTGGTCCTTGGTCCTTGGTTCTGGCTGGAGGGGTCGAACCCTTGGTCGGTATAAGGTTGCAATTTGTGCAGTTTAACGCTGGCCTTTGCCCTGTTTGCCTTTGTTTTGCCCCGGATCCTTGCACGTCTCCACCCATCTCTCTTTCTCCCATGTCCCGGCTGCCATTTAATGACTTTGTCGTTGTCGTAGTCGCAGTCATCGGTGCTCGGTGCTCGGCAGGAGGCACTAACTATCCACCCGGCTTGGCTTTATCTCGCTACTGTGGCTCATGTTGCCCCAACACGAGGAATTGCATGAAAGCATAAAACCGACAGTACACGACTTTGGGTGATAAATGGCCTGGTCCGGTTGGGTTCCTCCTTCTCATCCTTCTCCTCCACGCAGCTGTAATTTGCGCCCTCTCCAATCCAAGCCACTGTCCCACTGTCCGGCTCCGGATCTGTCCCTCGTCCGCCCTCAAATCCAATCCTAAGCCCCAGCCGACTGTAAATTATATGCCCCGAGAGTGCAGCGCTCTCTTCCAAAAATGTTGGCTTGGTCACTTTATGATTGAGGCTGCCCATGGCTGCTGATCCAGAGAAACCGAGCCGAACGCCGTTAGTTCCGTCTGCTTTTTAATAAACTTGTGTAGTGTCATCAATTTTCTTTATGGCCATTTTGGATTTTCCAGCTTTCGCTTTTGGAAAATTGCAGTTTTTCCCAGTCATTTAATTGAAAATGTGGCATAGGGAGCGCAGCTCTAGAGTCATAGCTGCCGGCGGTTGTGCTTTATCTGTTTATTGATTTTTTGCTTTGTTATTAAATGGTTCAGTTTTTTTGTGCGTTGAGTTGCTAACAAAAACGGTTTCCCATTTTCCAGTCAACACCTGCCAGCAGGGATGAAGCAGAACAACAGCAACAGCAGGAGCAGGAGCTCCAGGAGGCCACCATCACCACAAAGCCAACACCGAGTAAAGTGCCTAAATCGGTTTCCGATAAAAAACGCTTCTTCGAGTCAGCCATGGAGGATCAACACAAGCCCACACAAAAGACAGGTGAGTAGTGAGTGGTTAGCCAGGGGAAAAGTTTGCCGATTGGACCGCAATTCACGAGTGTCAGGGGGAAGCTTGGCAATGTCACCGTGCACTTTGCCCTGGCTAGTGGTTCTGCCACTTAAATCCCGTTCCCTGGCCCCAGCTGTCAATCAGACCACTTATCTCTACCTACCTTGTGGGTATCCTTAATTAGAGACTGTGTTCTTGCACCGCCATTTGCATGACAAAGTGTGGGCCAGATGGCGGTAGGAATTCGTACCGGGAACTAAGCTGCTTCGGATCGCTATTTATTTAATTTCCTTACCTAATAGCGACACAGCTTTCTGCAATGAATCTCACACTGATTTCATTTTGCCGCCATTTCTTGCAGAGAAAGTTTTCTCATTCCTGTCAAAGGACGAAGTCGAGAAGCTGCGACAGGAGGAGGAGCGCAAGATTGCAACACTGCGCCGTGATAAGAATTCCAGATTATTGGATGCCGCCAACGACAACATTGACAAGGACGATGTCCGTCGCTCCGACGATAAGCGCCCCGATAATAGCAACACCAAAAGCGCCGAGTATGATAATGATGACAGCGACCAGGAGGAACAGGAGCAGGATGAGGATGATGCCGCAGCAGCTCACGCTGATGCAATCGACAATGCCACTGCCGCCGCTCTGGGGCACTTTGACGAGGCGGAGGACATGAGGTGAGTGCTCGACGGATATGCCATTGCTCTCATTCCGGATTACTGGTGCTTGCATTATGAGCTTTTTATGTTACATCTGAATGCACAGGCACTACACCCTCACACTTCCAATCAATCAATCAATCACCTCTCACCCTTCACCCTTCACCCTTCACCCTGTGCCATTATGATAACTCATACATATACCCCACACTATCCACACACGGTGTTTGTGCATTTGCTTTCGCATAATCTCTTATCCGAAGCTGAACATTTTTAGTTTTTATTGGTGAAGTTTCCCCTGCTTCCTTTTGGTTTGGTTTGGTTTGGTTCTGGTGCCGGTTTCCCCCTCTTACAGCTGCTTTAGATATACAATATATGTTGCCCTTAAGTTAGACTCTCATACACACATCACACACTCGCACACACACTCTACTCTCTTTACTATCCATGCCACACGAGCGCAGTCAACTGACGGAGCTGCTAATCATCATCGAGACTTAGTGTGTTATTAAATAGGGATAGCGATCTATGGCTGAGAGGTCTTTAATAGTAAGTACACTCCACACACAAACACACACACAGTATACACACCCCAAACACATGCATACGATTATAAGCGTGTAAGCCCTAAGCAGTTTAAGTTTTATGTAGCACTTAAGCGCTGTATGGACTCGTAAATCGCAGGCAGACGCTCAACTTAAAAAATAAGTAAAAAATCCCGAGGAGGAGGTAAGGCAAGGAGATGATGGGAAAACATGTTATGGTTCTGCCGCGGAAATCTTTTTAGTACATAGAACCAACCCTGTTGGGCTTTAAATCTCATCTTGGGCATATGATAATCTAGTCTAAGGACTACAAGGGGAGAGAGAGGGGTGCTGTTTAGAAGTGTAAGTATTTTCGTGCTGCTTAACTTAATTTTTGCCCTGGCATTGCGTATACGCAACGTAGACCGGGCCTTGCCCCTCGGGCCAAGTGAGCTCTCTCACCCTTGCCACACTCCTACTCCCTCCAAACCCCTATTCCCCGCGGCACAATGCCAGCTGTTTTTACAATTGAATAACTTCATTTGGGCATTTCGCAAATTACGTTTTGTGCGTTTGCTCGCTCAACTGGGCGGTGCCAGCGTGGAGACGCTTCAGGTCGCCGGCAATGGATCGGCAAACGAGCTAGGAGACGGGGAGGGACTCTGGAGTCAGGAGCCCGGAATCAGAATTCAGGAGCGAGTCAGTAGAGAAAGTCACGCACACGTACGCATAATTCAGTATCCGCCGGGAATCGATGATTTTATGCTAAGTATGCTGCACTGAATTAAGCGGCGGGAATGAATCACAGTGGCAAGGCACTGGAAAAGGCATCTCGGAGTCCTGTGTGCGGCCCAAATGATATTTTAATGCCCGAAACAGGCAATTATAATTAGCGCCCCTCTGGGGAGAAAGGAGGGTAAGGAACGGTGCCCGCTTGATGGGCATGCAACACGTAGCAATGGCGACCATTGTATGTCAAAAGGCACAACTCGTTTGTGTCTTGTCTCACCTGCGTTGGTATTGGTAAACAAAACAAGGGAGCCTCTATAATGGAAGAAACTAAAAGCTTATGCCAGGTGTCTGTCTCCTGGAAAACCTCCTCCTACCAGTGGCAGCCATTTTGTGCACGGAGCTCTCGGGCGCTTATCAGCCAACATTCACACATATGTATGTGTTTGCTCGCTTGGCTTGGTTGAAGGACTCTTCCCAGTCCCAGTCCCAGGCCCCTTTCGCGTTCTCGTCCTCGTTCCAGTGGCTGACTCTAACAACATTATATAATGAGCAACAACAAAGTAATTTAATACAATTTCGCCCCCCCTAAGCTGTTGCAGGAAAACATTAAAAAGAGCAGCGCGAGCGTCATCAGCGAGGTTCAAAAGTCGCCGTTCGAATACCCTTATCGGTTCATTAACCCAGCGTTTCGTGGCCTTGCTTGACCTTTGCCACAAATTAGCACTCATATCATAACCTGAAGTCTGACTTTGGAATCAACTTGTTATAAGATATGGCAAAAAAATCATAACTGCTTCCGGTCAGAAAGTGTATGCGAAAAATAGATAAACAAAAGAGACCACAGAGCAGGGGCAGGAAGAAAAAAAATGTGTGTACACGTATGACAACACCAGATATCGCATAGCATGACAACCAGTTGCAGGACGTTTAAGGACTCTCGCTTTGTCCCCAGTGTTTGCGAATGAAATTTACTCGCACGATGGCTATGAAAATATTGCGAGGATAGCTAGCTAATTTCACTCGAGAACTTGTATACATTCCATTACAAAGGGAGGCTTTTGATGGGTTTTCAAAAGGAACCCAACGATTATCTCTTCACTGTTTGTTTTTCGAACTTTGAACGCATAAATCAAGCCGCCAAAAGAAAAACTAATCATTATTTTTGGGGACACATTTGGGAATAAATAACCCATGACTTCATAGGTGGGCCCAAAGAATTCTGCGCAATTTCAGGCCATCACACGACTGGTTGTCAACTTGGCCGAAAGAAAAACCTTGAAGTCGAATTGGCTCAGCTGCCAAAAAGTTGGGGAACGACCTGCCCTCCCCCTACATCCCGCTCTATCCCCGCCCGGCAGCTGGCTTTACAACTTTACATGCATAATATAATAAATTGAAATGTGTGTTATTATGTTGCTCCGGCCGTAGCCTTGGAATTCATAACGAGGAAAAGAAGATAAACATGTTAATAACCTTGTAATAAATTTCTAGCAAGAATTTCTACTAGTTCGCCCCGGCAGCCTGCCCGAACTTCTTTCCTGTTCTTGTTTATATTTTTTTCTATGCATAAATTTTGTGTAAAAAAAAAGAAATACAAAAAGATATATAAAGAAGAAAACGAGAGAGGAAGATATGTAGAAAAACCCATATCAAATTAGCCGGCAAGGCAGTGTTCTCCAAACTATTTGTATTTATATTCAAATTAAACTCGTCTAAATCCATAAAAGTTGTGAAACACAAAAGGCTCACCAGATCCGTGTTTATGAATTTTATTTTTCTATTTCTATTTTTTTGGCGACTTCGAAATTGGCTTCCGTGACGACAAAGAGACGCGTCGGCAAAACGCAATCGAATTCTTAGTCGTGCATTAATCGTCTAATTTATTGTTTGATAATTTATGAACTATTATTAGTTGGTCTCTGCGACTCCGAACGATCTTTGGTGACGATGACTCCCGCGCTCTCGCTTTCAATTGGAATTGGATTTGGATTTGGAATTGGTTTCGTTGGCTGACTGGCGGTTGCTGTTGACCCTGAAATTTTGGCAGCGACAAGACAATTGGTGGTCAGCGGACGGCTGTTGTTTTTCTCATTCGGTTTCTTCTCTTTCGGTTTTTTTCGGTTTTTTATATTAATTTTTGTTTTTACATTTAAATGTGTATGTTTGCGGCCGTTTGCTTCTTGGACGGTTTTTGTGATTTTATGCAGATGAAAATATTTATGTTTTGTTGATTGCGCATAAATTAATTTATATTTTATGGCGTTGGCGCTTCGTTCGTTCCTCAAATGGATCGCTCAGCTCCTCCGTCATCGGGTGTATGCAAATCGGAGTGGCGCTGTTTCTGTGTCTGTGTCTGAGATATAAAAGCATAATTTGACCTTAAGCTAAAAATGAGGGCGTTAATGATGTTTTTTGTTTTCCTTTTCTGAGTCCGAAGTCTCTGTCTCAGTCTATTTATTAATTTTTTTAGTTTGTCTCCATAGTATGCATTTTATTTTCGCTTGATTGTTGTTTTGTTTTTTTGGTCGCATAAATATTAATTACAGTCCGTGGAAAACCCCGCAGACAGAACCAAACCAAGGGAAGCTGGGGGAACTACTTTCCTGGCCACATTGTGTTTATTATTTTGCAATTAGCACAAGTCTCTCCACCACTCTCTATCTCCCTTCCCCTGTGCACCTTTTCTAATTGTACACCACAAAAACTTTCTGTTTCTGCTTTTCCCAAACCACTTTTCCAGGAATCCACTCGAAGAAATTGAAGCAGTATTTAGAAGTTAAAACTAAACTAAGCTCTGACACCCTCACTTTACACAAGTTGTGCGAATGTGACACGTTTATTAACCATAGCTTTAAGTGTAACCTACTCTATATATATACTTACTTATGAAACTATGTATGTAAAGTATGTATTCCGGGCGAGACTTTTTCGAGCGTAAGTTACAACTACTAAAGCAGTAAAGCAACTAATCTACGATATAAAGTCATTTTTATACTGCGACTCGAAAACTTTTTATACCCGTAACATGTTAACGCTGAAATGTGAACTTTATAGAGTGACAACTACCATGGGCTATGACTCCAACCACGCCCACTCCAACTCCCACTCGCACCTGACAGGGCCAAGTATGGTGTTAATGCCACATGCTCCTCCAACTCTCCTGTTATTTTCTTTTTTGCATTTTATTAGCCTAATTATTTCTCTCTTTTCAAATTGCCCAACTTTTTGAACAACACCAAAACCAACAACTAGTCTGTCTGAGTTGGCAACACTTGAAATTTTTCAGTACACCTCCTGCACACTCACACACCTACAACACTTCTAGACCCCCCAGCACACACACACACACTCGAAACACACCACCTAACACCCACAGTGCCTTGTGTGCGGCGCTTTGTTGCTTGCATAATTTATATGCATTTTGCATTTCTGAAATGTTTGTTATTAAAAATAATGATTTTTGGAGCAGGACAAGAAGTCTCATTAGTTTCGGTTCAACTCCCACCCCCCTCGTTGTCTCTTTGTAAACGATTTTTTAATTGCCATAAATAAATGTGTGTGTGTATGGATAAAGTCACGCGAGCTCCATTGTCTTGGTTTAATGTCGATTTATCGCCATTGCGATTGAAATTCCTGACTCGACACTGCTTGTTAATAGATTACCATACAAAATATAGGAACTCTTGGTGTTTTTCATTACAAAATTAAAAGTTCCTGGACTTTTATGTTGGCATTTCCATGAGCATCTGTTTTTTAGCCAAGTAAATATACATAATATACATATATTCCTAAAATGCCCTGCAAGTTAAGTTTTACAAACAAAATCCATGTTACCATTCTCGATATATATTTTATAAATATTTATATATGTTAAACGTAAGAACTGCTTAACCATGTATTACATAATACTACTGATTACGGTTATGGACTCACAGCATTATCATTACCATTATAATAACCACACACAACAACACAACACACACACGTATTTGTCATCGATTTGTGCCATACCTATATTTATATATTTATGTAACTTTGTTATTTTGCATATATACAGAACAAAAAAAGTACCATTTATTAAACTCTAGAAATAAAGGCGAATGACTCAAATTAGCTTTATTGCAATTTATTTATTTATCGTACCAATCACCACGTTTGCATAATTGCTTAACTCTTACCAACTTTCAAGCACTCTTCTTCGGTTGTGGTTTCTGCATCATTCACCTCTGACCTCTCCCTTAACCATCTCGACGTTTATGGGTAGTGTTTTGATTATTCGGACGTTGGGGGGGAGCCTCATTATGAGCACAGCAATTAGTAATTGAAAGACGAAAAACAATCATTTAGAACTATGGTTAGAGGGAAAAAACTACCATAAAAAAGTCTAACGGGGGTAAATCTGTCAATTGCAAAAGTTGAACGCGCCGGAATACTTTCGCTTCGCTACGGCTGGATCCCCGCCAGGACCCGCTAGGAACCGCCAGGATTATTGTAGCGACGCGCTCGAGTGCCCGGCCAGAGTTCATTTAAAAGTCGAGAGGACAAATGAATGAATAAAAGGAGCCAAAGAAATGAGCAAGGATAGAATCATGAGAATATTGTAAGTGCAATTCCCTGGGTCAGGAGCTTGGCGCACTTAGCCCCGACGTCCTCCTCCTGCACCTGAAGACGCCTTCGCTCCTAGTTGGCTCCTTGATTCCGCTCCTCGGGCACGACATTTGCGTAGGTAGGTAGCCACACTGGCACTGGCAAAAGAGTGTTTCAGCCGAAAAGTTTCGCTCTCGCTCCTTTTCCAAGGATCTAGGCATCCCGAGAGCCGGCGGCGCTCAAATTGAAAAACATAAATCACTCAAGCAGAAGTTGCTGCCAGCGACTTAGTAGTTGCCCGGGCTTTGTGTGAATAATTTCGCATTAAAGTTAAATTGAAAGTGTGTAGCAATTTGTTAAAGACAAAAGTCAGTTGGCAGGACAGAAAGAAAGAAAAGAAAAGCGAATAAAAACCTGAATGGATAGACCAAATAGTTGCCATCCCCATAGTTGAAATCCCCTGGCAAATAGTTTCAAGTCGCTTTATTTTAAAATTAATTTTGCATACTGCCTTTTCTGGCTGGCATCATGTACACGTAGTTATGTAGGGCGAGGTCCCTGCTCCTGCCAAGTTTTACGACTCCGCAGACACTCTGCTTGCTGCCTCGGCTAATCTCCAGCTGCCATGTTATTGCACTTGTTGGCAAAAGTTTTTCAAAAAGTGATTTTGTCCGGGTTTTCGGGACTCTGGCTGGAAACTTTGCAGTATGTTTCTTGGTTTTAATTACAACAAATTCGACTTGTTATGCCAAAGTTGGCTTGCCGGGAGGACGTCAGGGCAACTCCGGGGCACGTACGTACATGTGTGACTAAAAGACTAAAAGAAATTAACGACATTGTGTTTGTAACTACTCATATCACGTGCTAACCGCATCTCACCGAATCCCCTTTTTGGCTTTGACAACGCAAATTATTTTGATTAAATGTGTGTTTTACTTTGCACAATTCGAACACGAACCAACTCTCGAAAAAAAATTATGACAGAACCGCACAAAGTCTGGCGACGACAACAACAAGCCCGCTGTCGCCACACGCCCCCAGCAAAATACCCAAGCAGAAGCAGCAGCAGCAGCAACGGAAGGCGAAGCCCACTTTGATTCCTGATCCTCCCAAGCCCTCGCTGCTGCCCAAGCCAAAGGTCAAGGTTGTCATACCGCCCGCCCTGCAGCAGCGTCTTAAGCAACAGCAGCAGGAGCAGCAGGAAGAGCCCACCATACCGGAAGAGCAGCAACAAGAGCCTCAGCTGGAGCAGGAACCTCAGCTTCTGCCTGAGCCTGAGCTTGAGCCCGAGCTCGAGCCCACTGCCGGTGGCAGTCGCATCCCCATAAGAACCCTGAAAGCCGAACGCCGCGTCCTGGCCTCGGCTGCCCGCCAATCCGGACTCAGTGTGGAGGAGTATCTCCGGCAGCTGGAGGCGGCGGATTCGGAGCTATCGCCCAACTCGCCCACCACGCCCACCGGCAAGAGCCGGGCCATGATTAAGTAAGTTGAATGCGTGACGGTCAAGGAGTTGACATGCGTGCGGGTCGCAGGCCCCTGCAGGAAAGGTTACAGGTCAAGTGCTGGATTCCGTCTCTGTATCGGAGCATCGCCGTGGGCAGACTGAGGGTGTGTAAATGCCAACTGGGTTGGTCCAATCGGGGGGAGAATTCGTAAGGAACACCCACGACAAGAACACTCTCACTGAATAATGCACCCACTCACGCGAGGCCATGCGAAGCTCTCGATGTCTTTCTATGTATATTTCTATGTCGATTGGAACACCTTATTCTACATCTCTGTTTTAGTTAGCGGTGTCTGTCCTAGCCACACCCACTCTCTGTCTTTCCCTCTTTGTATATATATACAATTCTTGTAATTAGTTTGCTTAAGCTGAAGCCGAGACCTACTTTCTTGTTGTAAATGTATGATTTCTAACTAAACTCTCTCCTACCTCCTTAGTGCCGAGAAGCGCGCTTCCTGGCGGGCAGCTCGCCTGCGGTCGCTGGAACAGGGCGCCGTGGAGGCCCAGGATGTGATCAAGAATATGCGCAAGATGACCGACGATCTGATCACCCACGAGGCCAAGGCCAGCGAGGTAAGTGTTCGGAGCACTAACCCATCCCCCGATCCATAGCCAAACCCAAGTCCATATCCATTAACATGCGCCTGATGGAGGCTGGAGAAATGGCCCGAACCACTTTGCCTGCGAATATAACAAAAGAAAAGAGCAAAAAAACCCATATAGCCACATGGTTTGCTTAACTAACCAACTAACTAATAAAGGATCGCGACCGAGAGAGCGGTATATGCTGAATGTTACCCTGAATGCGACTTGGAAGCCCCCGAAATCCTTAACCCATTTCTCGACCTTCTCTATAACTGTGTGTTTCTGTATCTCTCTCCCTTCTGTTACTAATCAGGCTCAGCCGAAAATAGTCTTTCCCAAAATTGCCATTAAGTCGAGCGACGGCCCAGTCATTGTGCGCGAACGCGAGAAAATACTCGATGAGAAGATTGTGCGACGTACTGAGGAGGTGCCCTGCCCCATAACGGGGCGACCTCAACTCCGCACCGTCGAGTATATTGAGAAAATCATCGAGACGGAGGTTAGCCCATCAAAAAAATCAAATTAAATTCCAAAACCAGCAAATCACTTTGTACTGTTACTAGAGCTGTTAAAATATCGAAAAAAAATCAGTTTTCTGAACCATATTGCGTTTTTTAAAAAAGGAAAGAGTTGTTAAGGGACTGATTCCCAAGAAAGATTTTAAATTTTTTTGTAAATTTTAAATTGTTCAGATTGATTATCGATATTTCGAATGTTTGACTTCAAATTTGTTTTATTGTAGTCAATATTTTGCTTTAAAAAATAAATCAGCAATATGATCAAAATCGATATTTTGACAGCTCCAATCGTTACCCGTAACTGTTACTGTATTATATATCAATTGGCACCGATTTGAGTTTCGTTTAGACAACGTTTTTGGACACATTACACCCCCTTAATTTTCGGTTTCTGTTGCCGCCTCGTAAAGCGTTAAGTGTTACGCATTAAGCGTATTGTGTATTGTAGCCGTAATCACTTCCGTTTAAGCCGTAGTCCGCATTTCCGGTTGCACCCTCCGAACATTTTTATGCACCTTCTCTCCATAAAGCACTCGATTCACTCGTCTCTCTCATTGTACAAAAGTAAACATCTTCGGCACAGTCTTAATTATTTTATAGAGCTCATTATTGTTATGGTCTGTCAGGGAGAAGGATTGGGTTAGTACTGTCCCGGTGCTGGAAACTTCTTCAACTTGGACTGTTCTTGAGTAAAAACAAATTTTAATATCCACCGAGCACTCAGTTGCCCGAGGGGATTTTGTTGACATTTCGCCGGCTTACGCCACCACAACCAAGCCCTGGTCCCACCCTGCCATCTCTTCTCTCACTGCCATCCAATCCTAAAACCTGGCTGAAGTGCAGCGCATAAAAAGGACAATAAGCCACTTTGGCGACGCGCTAAAGGTAAAGGTTCGCTTTCGCTTTCCCAGGGCCCAGCCAGAAATGATTTCCAGTTATTGCGGCAGTTTGAGTGTCGCGGTTTTTAAGGCCGCGCCCTCAAAAGAGTTTCATTGTCTGTGTTTTTAGGGTTTGTTGTTGTCACGTGTCTATAAAATAACGACGAAGTCGACCCCCATTTCGTTTGGAGCCCGATTCTGGATACAATTTTTAGTATGCAAACGCATTATAATGACTCTTTGCCGCTCTGCTGTGCCTTTTTTTTATGGCCGAGTCCATTAAAATTAAAGCAAAAGTTTTTTGTGCCTCTGCCTTTGTTTTTGTTTTATGTTGTTCTTGTTCATGTTGATTTTTGTTTGCGGCGACCGCATCGTTTTAATGAGTTTCAAAATATATACTTCTATATATATCTCAAAAAAAGAATGCAAATAAAAACAAACAAGCCAGCAACAACACGCAAAGCATTTTATGCGCTATTGTTATTCTGCGGGCACGTGTTTCTGATGGCAGCGCGGCGCTCGGCATGCTTTTCAATTTGCAAACGGAAGGAATTGCCATCCGCATTTTGGAGGAGTGTCAACAGCACGAAGACTACTGACTGGCCCCTGGGCCGATGGAGCTCAGGAACTGCAGTGTATGTGCTTGCTTTATGTGTGCTGCAACCGAAACCTTGGCTGTATCTGATTCTGAATCCGAGCCTGGCTGCGGTCTCGTTCTGGTAATTCGAGAGCAAAAACTCGGCTTTGCTGCAAAAGCAAAAGCCTCATCCAGGCCGGAGGCTGACCCCGTTGAGCATTGAAAGCGCCGCAGGAGGCCGCAGGAGCTGGAGCTGCTTCTCTGTTCTCGGATTGCATGGAGCGTTGCCTGTCAGGAGCAGCAGCAGCTGCAGTTTAGTTTCAGCTTATCGTCCTGCCCGGGACTCCTTTATCCGCCTTCTGCCTGATGAGAATGCAGGCAATTTTCCTTTCTGTCGTTTGTCAATTTGCCTCATATCACGTATACGACAAGGCTGCCCGGGTGCGTGACGGTCCGGGCGCCTCAAAATTTTCGTCCAGGTCGTGATCAGATCAAGTCGTACCCTTAAAGTTTCCTGCACGTTCACCCATCTTGTAATTACTAACGACAAGTTCTCTAACACCTGTTTGTGTGGCCCATAGCGTAGCATCCTGTACTCACTCCTTTTTGGTCCTGGCTCTTACTTACATCAACTCACCTGGCAAGCGGTTCATTTTCCATTTACCGCTGTATAAATTAGCTATAAGCTGTTAGCATTTACACACATCTCTGGTTGTGGCTGCCTGCGCCTTCCGTTGCTTCCATTAGTAGTTAGTGTGCTGGCAAACCGAATGCACAACGTATCCATGCCTCATCTACACTTAGGTGGAGACCTGCAAGGAGCGCATCATTTCCTTGGAGCTTCAGGTGCCCGAACCGGAGGAGGGCACCCTAGACGACACGCAGCCGCCGCTGGAACTGCAACTCGAGGTGGGTGATTTTGGAGACGATGATGAAGACGACTTCCAGGATGAGGAAGATGACTTTGACGAGGACGATGAGGAGGAAGAGGATACCGCCTCCATTGTGACCGTGCAGGCAAACAACGAGAAGCTGTTCCTGCGACACGACTCCGATGCCTACGGCCCCTCGTCCATCGAGAGTGTGTCCTCCGGTAAGGTTCGCATCAAGCCCACGCCCCTTTCCCTCCACCAAACCCTGGCCAAGGAGACGACCATTGTTGAGGTTCTAAATCCTGTTATCGGAGGCGATGGCAGTGCGCGCACCATCCATGTGAGCGGCGGTGCGCCCTTTGACCACGACGAGGACGACTTCGAGCAGGGTGGCGCTGTGGCCGTGTTCCGTAGCGAAACCTTCGTTTTGCCTGACGCCGCCGGCAGTGGCAGGACTGAGTTGTCATTAAATGCGAAAATGAAAACCGTGCTCGAGGAGCTGCTGGAAAACGAGCGCGTCAAATTGAATTTGCAGAAGAGCCTCGAGGAGGATGACGAAGAGGAGGAGGGTAGCAGTGCCTATGGTGATGCGCGGGACGATGAGCGGGACGACGAGGAGAGCGCCTACGGCGATGCCATTGACGATGTGGTTGACTTTGGCGGGGCCACGGTCACGAGCCGCGCATCTAATGAGCAGGACGATGCCAAGAACGGCAATCAGCAGCTGCTCGAGGAGCTGATAAAGGACAGCAACCGCAACACAATCATTGCTAAATTGGCTGGCCAGTTGTCCGACGAGGATGAAGAGGACGATGACGAGGAGGAGGAGGAGAGCAGTGACTCCTCCGACGAGGACAGCGACGACTCCGACGAGGAAGACAATGCTGCGGAGCAACTGAATGTCACCTATGTGCAGGGCGCCCAGGTGATCGAGAATCTCAACACGCTGGCCGCGGGCAGCAAGCTGCAAAAGTCGCAAACATACACGGCCATCCAGCATCAGGCAGAGGAGGAGGAGGAGCAACCACAAGACCCTAGGGAATCTGAAAAGGACTCCAAACTGGAGCCAGAAGCAGCACCTTCTTGCGGTGCCGAAACCCTGGCCCAACTGCAGGCCGAGCAGCGAGCCCTGGCCGAGATCTCAAAGCAGCTGCGCAAGTCTGTCGAGGATTTGCTCGGCGTCGATGGCAGCACCGTGGTGGAGACACAGCGCACCTACACGCTGCCCGCTGCCAGCGACAGCTCCGCCGTGGTCACCGTCACCGAGGTGGTTAAGAAGCAAAAGAAAAAGAATCACAAGGGCGAATCCGGGGAGGCTATATTCAATCGGCTGCTGAGCGGTGGGGAGGCGGAGCGCCAGATCTTTGACCGGCAGCAGGGTGAGACCATTACGACGACCACCACCACCACGGAGGCTGTGAGTGCGGCGGACAATGAGCCGAGCAGCAGTGTGGTGACCACCACACGGACAGTGTCCAATATTGTGACCAGTGGCATACCCCGGCCAGCGGAGACCACCAAACAGGGTAGCAACCGCAACAGCAACAGCAGCAGCAGCAACAATAACCGCAGCAAGAACAAGCGTAAGGGGAAAAAGAAGTAGGCAGCAGCTGGCAGGAAGTAGGATAGAGCAGCGACATTGCGTATACGCCGTGTGGTGGGTATGTGATTCAAGCAAAGCAGGCGAAACCCTAACACGCACACACATATCAGAAGGTCCTTTAATATAGCCACTAATTATATATACATATGTATGATATTCGCATATATGCATTGATGATATTTTGTAATTAATTGTGCAAATAACGTTTGTCCCCCAGCATTTACAAAACCCATTTGTTACTAATCATGAAAGTGTGTCTGCGCATTAAAACAAAATATTTTCATTGCAAATTAAAAACCAATCGAGATGGGACAACAGTAGCTGTAAATTTAATGTTGAGCAGCAACCACAAAGCACAAATCGCCACCCAAACCCATCGGAATTTAAATTAACAAACGAAAACAAAAACGAGAAAACGAACGAGAGAAGGAACAAAAAAACAAAAATCTTATTTAATTGAATTAAATAATTTCACTTTGTTTGCATTTAACTATCATTTGCATAAAGCATCTGGTTTTTCTCCATCATCCTGTTTTTTTCCGAAAGGGCTTCGCTTAATTTCCGCAAATTAAATTTACGTTTTATGTTCTAGCACAAAAAGTAGAAGCAAAATGCAAAATGCAAAGGCAATACCGAGCCGAAGTATTCACGATGATCCATCCGAAAACCTTGAACCAACTCTAAGCATTCCGACTGCCCGCATTTTGGGGCTATTCTCCCTAGTTTTAGCCATAAGCAAACCCCGGAAACTAAACCCGATTCGAACCGAAACGAATAGAGCGAACGAGCGAGCGAGCGGAGAACATAAATCAAATAATCGTAAATAATGTAGTTAGAGTGTGTAAGTGCGTCCAGTTGTAATCCTTAGTATATGTAACACAATGCATAAGCACAACTATGACAAATGTCCTCGGGCGATTTCAGTTTCCACTTTTATACAAATGTAAAAATATATATTTACAAGCAATTTTATGTAATACCAACCTATGATATTTAGTGTGTAAATTCGCCAACACTGAGATGCGAATGAAAAATAAATAAATTGTATGCATTTTTATTAAAAACAAGACCGCAATTTTATTCTCGAAAGAGTCTTTAATTTAGCGAGGCAGCTTTTTTTCTGTCATAATGTCGCCCGAGGGTCTGTAATTACCTAAAGTGGCTCCGACTCTGCTGTAAATAATCCATATCTATAAAAAGCCCTGGCAGCAGCTATTTTTGGCCGGTTTAAAATGTACAGCAAAATGGCAATGGAGAAATGCTGAATTCCCCCAAGCCACAGCACACGGCAAAAAATCCTATAAATATGGCCGTCAGGTAAGGGACTTCTACTATTACAGGTACATTCCTATATACCCACACACATAATTGATATTTGGATTGCATAACGCTGGCATTTTGTGAAATATTGTTAAAGCCAGGACCCGGGAATGGTAGTACATTTATCTATGTATGCTTCGCATTGAACAAGAAGCATAGCACAAGCATACATGTTCCTGTGACGGAGCGGAAGAGGCTGCCACGCAGGACGATGGCAGATAGCGAAGGATACAGGACGAGAGCCAGTTCTGCAACTAGGACGCACAACAAACGTCTTCCGTTGAGGTAGTCGGATGGATAGACAGCTGCCAGCGGTGTGCCAGGTCCGCCTGCTAATGTGAAAATCGTTAGAATTCGCTCAGCAAGAGGTGGAAAGCAGCAGGAGCAAGAGCATCCAGTTTTCCCAGGAATCGCCAGGCTCTGCTCTGTCGCTCACGTTCCCTGCCTGCTGCACTGTGCATAATACGATTTAGAGTGCGCAGAATATGAGATACTTACATCGGTATGCACTTGCGTCAGCATCTTAAATATTTCATGCCCACCAATTGAATTAAGCCCTGCTGAATGCTCCTGCTCCTGCTGCTGTAGCTCCTACTCCTATTCCTGGTCCTACTCCCACCAATGTAGACGTAGATGGCGCGATGCGTGCTGCATGTTGCATGTTGCATGTGCAAGTGCAATGTTGCTGCGCCTGGCAGGCGCCTGAGGAAGACAAATGAATGCAAAAGTCCCTTGTCGGTGCCCTTGACCGCTCGCCGCCTTATTCGCGCTAATCTGCACTTAAACAGAAAGCGCTTTGACTTTGAGAATTTCCCGTGAAAAATAATTAAGGGAAACGCAATGTTTATTTTAAACAGAATCAGGTTTATTTTATGAAATCAAACTAAATAAGTACGTATAAGTAAGTATTTAAATCCAACAGAATGGTACTTGGTACTTTATGTTAATAAAATACAAACAAATGAACCCATAAAAAGATTCCAAAATACCAAGTATCTCAATTCGTTAAGATTTATCTATTTTCTGAGTGTATCCCACAACTGCATTTGCATTTCGGTGGCCAGGCAGTCAGCCGGTCCTTCATGTGCAGCGCTGACGCTAATGCACCAGCAGCATCAACAGCAGGATGAGCCAGACGAAAGGACCAAGGGGAATCCCCACCAGCAGGCAACCAATGCAATGCGCATTAATCAAAATCTCATTTCCGTGGGTGGCACAGAGGCATTACTACGTTGTTTACGTGGTTTCAGCAGAAAACAAAAACAGTTTGTCATATTTTAATACACTCCAGTGGTCCCGACAATGCAGGGAACGAGCTTCTGGCTGTTCTGCTCTGTCGTGGCCAAAAATCCAGCCAATTGTCGTCCCCTGTCACATTTAATAGGATTATGCTTGGTTAAACACAAATATCATTGGACACGCTCTCACATGGGCGAGTGAGTGGGTGCCACATGAATTTACAGCATTTGCTGCTTGAAATTTTTCACATTACGCACATAAATCCTGCAAGGATGCTGCTGTTGCTTTCTAGCTAGCTGCTGGCTCCTTGCTACCTCCTGAAAAATGTCCACTGTTTGTTTGTAGTACACACACTCATCCTCACACTTGTACGCATAAGCTCACATGGGCAGATGGGCAGATGTAATGGTGGGCAGGTGGTGGCCAGGTGAGGACCTCGTCCTTGGGCGCGTGCTCCGCGTGCTATTTGCCGCCGTCGCCGCTCGGTGCTGAGTTATCTGGCAAATAATGGAACGTGCTGTGCAGATGATGCGTTTTCATAAATTTTAAATAAGCACAGCAGCTGCTACAGGAATCCCAGGGCAACGGAGGATCCGAGTCGATGGAGCACCCAAAAGACGGAGGACACTCTGTGCTGGTGCATAATATGCCGTTTTATTCGAAAGTTTAGTCGAGTTTACTTAGCGCCGCCGCTGCCGCCTGCGTTGCGCTTAACTTGGCTGATTCATTTATCAAGCACTTTATCGGTAGCATTGGGTAAGAATGCACAGGCTCCGACAGACAATAAAGTATCTATGGAGTGCGATAATAGAAAATCCTTGCTGGCTGGAAACCTAAGGAGCATAAAGAAAAATATCCTTTTATATTCTATTCTATCGATTAGTTTATTTTTTAAGACATAACAGGAGTCTTAAGAATATATCATGTGAAAGAAAGTGCATTAAATTGTATATGGGAGAAAGTTTAAAAAAGGCTTTAAGAAGAGATAGGGAAATAAAACGTTTCACTAATAAGATAACTTTTCAATAAATATAAAATAGGCTTATGAAATATTGTTTCAAACGGTTAAATTAAGCAAGTTCTATACATTCTTTACCCTTTTTCGTCGGGTTTCTTTCCAATCACAATACCTTTGTAATATACATACATATATGTTATCCCAATGATACCACTTCATCTTTAAAAATAAATACAGAGTATTAAGTTGTATATTAAATAGTTAGTGCAAGACCTAAAAAAGTAAAGAGGAAAATAATCTTAAATAGTACATCGACAATCTGCCAAATGAGTGTTCAGGAAATGTTTTGAAAGGTATAACAATAAACAAATATAAAATATCTTTCATATTGTGCATTTCTAAGTTAATATCTTGAAGACTCCATCCCTTATTAAAGGATAAATGTTACTAAAAAGTGTTAAAAGCATTATATTTAAGTCTGCGTGCCCTTAGACAACTATCCAACAGTGAGTTACGTTACTCTCTGACTGGGAATCGCCTGAAAAGGGCCGTTGGCGCAGGGACAATGAGTGGCCAGTGGCCAGCTTGCAGATGGCCTGATGGCCTGATGACCTGATGGGTTGATGGTCTGATGGGCTTTTGTCTAGCCCATAAAAATGCATAGCCCGCATTGCTATTCCGATTGCTATTCCCCCCACAAGTCCATATGCTGCTGTTGTGGGTCTGCTGCTGTACAGCCTGTTGCTGCTCGGAGGACGACTCGCAGGTGGGAATTGTGCGCAGGCGCTGGAAGGGAAGCACAAACTGTTGCAGTTGCCAGTACAAAACATTGCCCCTCCGAGGGCCTTTTTATCCGCTGCCTTATCCAGCAGGAGGAGGTGGTTGCTGTAATAGTTCTTTGCGTGGGGCAGGTCCCCAAAGGGACTCGTACTCGAGCTGGAGCTCGAAGTCGGCTCGTCTTCGTCGTTGCCTGGAAGCCTATGCAAAGTTCGCATTTTGTTTCTTCGCTGCCTGGAAGGTATTTGTGCTGGCTTTGGAGCTAAGTCCACCCCCACGTCAAATCCCACTTGGGTAGGAAGGCGGCCACCCACCCACCTCCGACGGGCCTTGCCACTTTTTTTGTCCTGTGTGTGTGTGTTGCCTGTGCCAAGCTGCCTGTCTCCTGGCTTGCCTTGGCTGTTCCTCTTTTTCGCACCACTGCGGCAACTGCTGCTTTGCAATTGCAATTTTCAAGGATATGCTTGAAACAGATTTATATGGAGGGCTCAGTACGTGCGGAATTTATTAATGCTGCCCCCCCGGAGTGGCAGCCAGACGCCTTTGCCCCGCTATCATTAGCTGGGACGCAACAATGATGCTTCCCACCATGGGCACGGGTTACGTAAGGCGATGGGCCCATCGAAGTTTGCACATTAATAATGAGCTGTGTGTTCAGGTGTGGTGAATCGTGTGTTTGTGTTGCACTCGCAGCGAGTATTACGCGATTTCCGACATTTGGCCCACCGAAACGCAAATGGAAACAGATACCGCGCGAGGCTCTGGGTTTATTGTTGTTGCTTCAGCGTGAACTTTGACTGCTAATCCGACCAGAGATGCTAGTTGATGGGCCGCTGGCCGGGCTCCGGCATCCGGACACGGAATCCGGTATCCGGATTCTGAACAACGCTCACGTACACGCATTAACGAACTTCGGTGCTTAAAGTGCAGTCGAAAGGCAAAGACCAACAAACGCGTCTCTTCTCGGCGCGTTAAAACTTTATCTGTGTTTGTGCAGTTGGCCGGGATTTCCACTACTACTACTACTACTACAACTACTACTACTACTACAAGTCGTGGTGAATCCCCTCCGGTAATGAGGCGTCGACGGTTCCTAATAGTGACCAGGGTTTAACATAATTTATTCCCCAGAAGTTGATCGCTGCTTTCAATTGCACCTGTTCGCCTGTCCTCATGGGTATTTTAATTGCGAATATTCCGCACATTAAGTTGCCTCAATTAATTTTCCATCCAGCTTAACTCCCGTTAATTAATTTCCACATATGACGGCGGAGGATGAGTTGTTCAACTCAGAGTCTCCAAGGCGCATCCTTGCCGACACTCCATCAACTGGCCACCGCCGCAATGTGCAGGCGGAAAAATCTGTTAAATTGGATGGTTTCGAGCTTTACGAGCTTGCCAGCGCATTCCCCATCTCAATTTGCATACATTTTGATTGTGATTATCCCGGGCCACTGATTTAAATACGGCCGGATAAGGACGTGGGCGGACAATCAGGACGATGCTCTGGCTCCGTCTCTGACTACGCGCTGCATGTGGCAGATGGAGCGCTGCCAGCTCATTAATAAACACGACGCTTTGCTCCTTGCCCGGCACCGGATCCCATCAAGAGTAACAAAAGTAACAACAGCGCAATTCCGTGGCTTGTCCAGTGTTTCCCCTTCCTCCACCGATGATGACGAGCTTGTGGTCAGCTAGCCCGTTCGCCATTTCATGCTCATTGTTTTCGAACGGTTAAAGGCTGGGACAGTCTGTTTTTAAA